ATTATAATTGGAAATTTATAACAAAACGTTGGTACCTATTAAATTGATTATAATTTTAGTCATTTTTATTTTTTATATTTTACTTTTGCTTTTGGAAATTGTCTTATATAAGTAATTAAAAATAAACTAAGTGGTACTCAAAAACATGCCTTTGTGACAATCAATGATAACACTTTCCAAAAGATCCTGGCATTGATCATTTTTTGTGTGAGATATAGTTTATTCTAATTTGAAATAGATTTTAGTAATATGTTGATAATAACTTTAATAGTTAATATAGTATACCTAAACTGGTTGGAGTATAATTAAGTTCATAAACATAACATAATATTTTAAATATTAATTATTTATATTTATTATATTACTAGACATTATTTCAAAGAATCCATTTCTTCAAGTGTATATATATATCAAATGTGGCTATGTTTACTATTAAAATAAACTATAAACATAATATTTTTGATTTTCAAAAAATCTTTTCATGAAAATAATATTCTGCTTATAATATTATTTAACTTCAAAATTATTATAAAAATATAGATATAGAATATATCAGCGTTTCTCAAACTTTTTTATCTATGGAACCCTTTTGATGTTTACTTTTATCGTGGAAACCCTACCTTTTTTTAGCTTTTTAGCTTTTTTAGGATTATTTTCAATAAAAATTATAAATATTTCATATAACAACAATATGTTAAAAGTATTTGATTCATAAAATTTATTAAAATAAAAATAATAACAATAACAATTGTATATAATAATATTTTAATTAAACTAAATTATAATTTTAATGAGATAAGTGAAATTGATTTTTATTTTTACAAATATTCTTAATATTGGGTTTTATTGATGAAAGTTGCACAAAAATTTTTTTCCCCTATTAGCCATTTCTTATCTTTAGTTAGATATTTTAAAGTAATTTTTCTCAAAATTTTTAAAAACATTACTTAAGCTTCATGGAATCCTAAAGTGATCTCTGTAGAACCCCAGAGTTCTGCGCAACACAGTTTAAGAAACACTGAAATATACTTATTATAATATCATTAATATTTATGTCCAAACTGTTTGTAAATGTATTACCATATAAGTTATAGTTATATTTTTCATTCAGAGAAGGTAGTATAAAATCCCGGTCAAATTTTGAGCAAATGACGTCTCAAAGCAACAGTAATTGGTCAACTTGGGCAGTAAACACCTTAGTAAAAAATCCATTGTCGTGGTCTGTTGATAGAATTAAAGAATCAATCTTACCGCCTACTCCTGTTATTGACGAAAAATCTGAATATGTTGTCTTACATTTGATTGAGGTAATACATTTTTTCATAAGCTTTTAATATTTTACTATTCTTAAGTGCTGTATTTTTATTTTTAAGAACCAAGCTAATGAGCTATTTAACACTATTTCTGTGAATGAACAATCACAAATTCTTTTTATGGATGATTTACAAAAAAGACTTCATGAAATGTGGAATTATGATGTGTCAATGTCTTCTACTGAACTTATAGTACACTCTTTGGAAATTCGTAATAAAGTTTTTGTTGAACGCGGTGAACATCTAGTAACCAACAAGACATTAGTTAAAATCGCAAGTCGTGACAAAGATGTTGAACCCATTTCTGAATTAGAAAAAAATTTTTTCAAATTAAAAGAAACTGAGAAAATATTAATTGGTGAAATTAGCAATATGGATTTTGAAAAAGAATCCTTGACTAAAGAAGCTAAAAGTTATATAGCCAAAAATATGAAGCCTATTGTAAGTTTTTAAACAACATTTCTTGCATTTGTAATACATATTTTCTACTATCAAATATTAATTTAGTATAAATCAATTAAAAAATTTTAGGCACTAACATACCTGCGAAAAAAGAAAGAAATTGATAAACGAATAGAAAAGCAGCTGAAATCACTTGACAATGTGCAAGCCTTAATTTCAAGAATAGAGGAATCGAAATACAATGCTGAAGTAAATAACAATTAAAAATATGATTAAATAGTGTTTTTACCAAATTTAAAATCATAATTCTATAGGTATTGCAATCATATGCTCATGGACTTGCAGCTTTAAAGCTTTCATCTAAAGATACTGGTCTCACAATCGATAATGTTGATGAAACAATGGCAGAATTAGCTGAAGTATTTACAGTCTAGTAATTAAATAATATTGTTATCACTTTTAATTATCTTTATTACAGGTCATAGACGAACATAAAGATATGCAATCAGCAATGGGTAGTTTAGTCGATGTTAAGGAAAAGTACAACGAACAAGAATTAGAAAATGAATTGGCTGACCTATTGAGTAAAAATGAACCAATAGCATCAAACACAGGAAAACTTAATATTTCAGGTAGAATATTTGTAGCATTTAATATGTCAATAGTAGTAATGATGGAAAAATAAATTTTACAGACCTACCAAGCGTACCGGATAACAGTTTGGAAGGTGAAGAATTGGACCTTGACCGGAGATTCCAGTTGTTGAGAGAACAATAAGTAAATTAATTAAGAAAATAATGATTTTAAATAAATACAATATATTCATGTATATCATAATTTTATATATTTACTTACATTATAAATAATTATAGCCAAACTGCTAATAATGTACAAACGTTATTGTGGTAATTTGCTATTTTTTTTTACAAGAAAAAAAGAACATTGTTGATAAAATATACTTACATTTTTAAATAATTAAAAATTAGTTTAAATATTTATCATGACTTCTGGTTTTCATTTGATTAAAATCTAAGTAAAACGGTTAAATTAATGTATTAGTTTTATTATTCTATTTTAAGAACACAACATGTCAATACCAACTACTTACAATCATACATTTTTGTCAACTACCAAATCATTAGCTTTGTAATAATCTTAAGCCATATTCTTAATAAATTACATTTGACATCTAGTCAACAATCTGTCGACTTTCATAACTAGATAATTCTAAATTTACTAGTAGTAGAACTATGATAATTTGAATTGAAAATGTTTTAAATCCTATAACTCTCAAAGTCTGTACTTAACATAACATAAATTAATGTGGTGTTTTCTTCTAGGTTAGTAGAGCTTGTACATTTAAACCTATAATTTTATCCATGTTTAATACAATTTTATTTACAATTTATATTTTGTTGGTTCAATTAATTACTCGTGTCTAAATTGTTGTTATATCAGTTAAATAACAGTTATGTTTAAGGATAATACTAGAATAATCCTAAGTCAAATCAGCCTTTTATGGTATTGCCCTTATTTATATTTAATGATTAACGTATTTATACATTGGTGTGATTGAATTGTAAAACATGTACTCCCTAATCATTGGAAACAGACAACAGTACACTGTTCTGAAACGCGAGAATGCTCTACAACATATATTATTTTGGTTTGATATATTAACTGAAAGACTTTATTAATCATTTAAAACAACGGGAAAGTTTTCCAACATTAAAATAAATTATAGAGTGTATTATCAGATTGAATTCAAATTGTATGAAGATACTCCTGTAGTCTTGTCCAATTATAACAAAAAAACAATAATTAAATTGTGCAAACCTAAATTAGGATAATCTTATGTGATACTAACTGTTGAACAGTAAAAAAACAAACAATAATTGTAAACCACATCTACTTGGAAAAAAGTAATATAAAACTATTATTATAGTAATATTTAAATATTTGTGTTATCATATATAAATATAATTATCCATAGCTAAAATAAATAAAAATGTAGTACTTTGATTTAATAATTCAATATGATTGGTTTTATTCTACTCGAAAAACCTAATTCTTTTTTCTCATTAAGTATATATTATTATTGGTTACAAAATATTTTGCCTACGAATTTAAATATATAAAAAAATGTTGCAATACAATTTACAACTTATTAAAAAAAAAAAACTTTGTACGTATTAGAAATTCAAGCTTCTATTTATATTTTTTACAATTAAAAAAAAAATATATATATATAGTAAAAATATAAATTAGGCTAAAAGTTAAAACAAAAAAAAACTACCTATCTAAGGTGTTCCACTCAAAAGCATTTCAATAAGTCAAAAAATTCTAAGGCCACTCCTGTAGATAAATAATATTTTAATATAAGACGTTGTACAAATTACAAATTGTATACTATCACATGATCGCTTAAATATTTGTACTCCACCCAAAGAGCATGTATGCACATTAAGAATATTTTATAATGCTGGTAGTTTTTAAAGATCTAAAAATTAAACTAAACCAAAGAATTAAAATTTTAGAGATTAGAATTTTTTCTTGTTCGTGAAAAAAAGCATAAAAATACATATTTGTGGACATAAAAAAATTTACTCTAAAAATAATTTTTTTTTATCTAATTATATTTATTTTTTATAGCAGTTGAGCAAATTGAATAAATAAAAATAAATATGCAATTGTGCCTTTGCAGTGTTGAATCAAATATGCACTATTCTCTGATAATTCCTACTAAAATTATATAAAGCCTGAGAAAAAATAGTTGAACCGAGTTGTACAATAATACCATAAAATCAATAAGTCAAAAATATAACTATCTACATAAAATATTAAAATTATATAATATTAAAACTATGTTTATAATAATTATTTTACATATAGAAGGAATTAAAAGGATGTAACAATGGTTTTTGTTAAATTATCAGACATATCCATTTTTGAAAAGTAGTACAAAAAGTAAATAAAACTATGAATAGAACATTGAGAATTTAATTTATATAATAATATAAATTAATTTAAAATAGGGATTCTTGAAGTTCATTGAGCCCAAATTAAATCTTTAAAAAAAAATTGATAATTAATTTTATAATCCAAGCATTCCAAAACAAAATTATTTTTCAATAACCTGTGTTAATACTCACACATCACCCTGTATTACTCACTGTAATCTACTTTTTTAATTTTATCATTGGAGCGCTTAAATAATAATAAAGGGAAACACAATATTGAAATGTTAAAAAATATAAATATATATTTTTAAATTTAATGGAATTATGATTATTTTTTTTACTTTTAAATAAAAAGATAACATCAAAGTAAGGAAATAATTATGTTTAAAATTATAATAGAATTCTTCTTTTTTCCAACATGCTTAAGCTAATATGAACGGTACTTATTTTAAGTTGCCCTAAGTATTCAATGGGTATTCTTTTAAACATTCAACATCCTAATAATCGTCAATATCATAAAGTTCATTTGGATCCAAATCGTCACACTGCATACTTTGAAAATCAACTTTATAACGTAATAATCCTGAAAATTATAATAAAAACACATTGCTTAGTAAACAAACAAATACACTAAAGTATAAGAAAAACATTTAAATAAGCAAGAAACAATCAAAAGACATATGTATTTTTACTAGTTACTACTATTTAAGTTCACTCTACATTGATCACATTATTGCCAAAAAGTTAATGAGTTTATATTATATTTGCTTCACATTTGTACTAAATTTTCTATTGTATTCTTTTAAATACAATTTAATTATAAAAAGTTTTGACAATATAATTTTAAATGTGACCAATGTAAGTGGAGAAAGTATGAACATTTTTTTATATAAATATTGCTTATTTAAAATGTGTATAAGTAAACTATTGAAAGTTTATCTTAAAAAAGCAAATATAACACAATAATTAAAAAAGTTTTAAGTAAATATAAAAATGAAGCATAAAAGACTCAAAAAGATATTAAGTCTTAAGAGACTTCACCTATTAGTAGAATCATTTTTATTCAAAAAAACAAAATCACTCAGTGATACTACCAACATATTAAAAAATATGTTATAATTTTAATAAAACTCAAACAAATATAAAACTTTACATTTAAAACAATACACCACAAAATATATGATTAAGTCAATTAATTAATCAATTAATCCATTAATCTAAACTTAAAATATTTCTTAGCAAAAAATTGTTACTTAGACAATTTTCTATAATTTTAGAAATGTAAATATATTTCTTGAAATATGAAATTAAAATTAAATTTTTTCATTAATTAAATATTCTTAGAGTATATTAATTATATCTTATAAACACTTAAAGTTCAAAATACAAAAAATATAAAAAATGTCACAATATATTTTAGCTGTTAAAATAAATATATTATCCATTTATTCACTTAAGTAATATTGTAAATTATTAATAATGATATTAACATTTATTTAAAACTGTTTATGAAAATATGTAAGTCACTATCTATCAAAGTAGTCAAATAAAAATATTAAATAACTAAAATTAGATGTTTTACAAACAATTTTGAATTCATACAAAATATTTTAGTCAAATTAAATTTTCTTTTATAGAATTTATTAATTGTGATTAAAACTAAAGCATACCTAAGTAAGTTTAAATTTTAAATAAAAATATAAATAATTATTCTAATAAAAAAATAAAAAGAATTGCATTTAATTATGCATGCATTTAAATCAAATCAATACAAAATGTACTCATGCATAACATAACACACATCAGTATTTGTTAATTGTAAATGAAGCTACCTTGGGTTAGTAAATTTAGTTAGTAATCATCAAGATTCACATCGTCCAATGGCTCATCCGCTTGCAAGGACTGAAAATCAACCTTGTAGCGGAGTATGCCTGTCAATAAATTTAAATTTTATACTTATAGCCCAAAGGTTAATGAATCCAACCATAATTTAAAAATAGTATTAATTATTAAAACTTATTAACTAGTATATTATATATAATTAAATATTAGATATATATCTAAAAATTATGATAACATTTATTTGTTTCCATTGCTAATATAAATAATTAATTTTTTTAAATGTATAATTACTCACCTCCTATACCACCAAATCCTCTAACAAATTGTGATCCTTCTTGTGATTTATCTGTGATTATTTCTAAGGTAGCTCCAAACATTTTATAATTATTAGCCAACCATTCTAAAAGTGGCTGACACTCAACTAATTCCAATTCTACTCCAGTCTATAACATAATATATTTTAATTATTTTAAAAATTGTCGTTATTGTTAATTGATCAAGATCAATTAGACATACATCTCTTTCTGTAAAATGTGTTTTATCTTTTTCTTGTTCTGGTGTTAAATGTAATATTTTTTCTTCCGCTGTTGTATGATTTTTCAAGACATATCTCTGAATGTCTAAATTTTCCCAACATATTAATGTTTCTACAGATCCAAGTTCTAGAGCTTTTAAAGTATCCTCAACACCAAAACAATATTTTCCAGTATCTTGACTGATCTCATCAAAATATCGTCCTGAAAACAAAGTAATATCACAACTCAAATTAAATAATTTATGTTATCTATAAAATAACAATGGTTAAGATAATAATTTAGTATAATATGAACATTATTACATCATATATTTAAATTACTGACACTAAAAATATATTCAATTCATATAGAAGCATTAGATAGATTTTTACCTATTAATTTTTTTTCTTGAATAAATTTAACATTTTGTAATGATTCAGCAGCTAATTCGATTGCTTGATTAAAACCATTTTCACCACCATAAGATACATCAACTAATTTAATAATTTTAGCTTGTAACCGCTAAAAGAAAATTATTATTATTATTATTCAACTTGTATTACAATATTTGTAATAAGAATTAAATATACTTACAGGATCAAACATATCAGATTGACTAAGTTCTGTTTTAAAGTCTGCACTACCAGCCAATATTAATCCAGCTATATTAGGTTTATCATTTGTAATAAATAGCTGAGTGGCTACCTCTGCCACTTTGCGTACATAATTGTGTCGTTTTTCCATACGTAAACGAGCAAAACGTAAAGCAGACTGACCTCCTCTACCGTGTTTTTTTGGTAAGTCAACAGTAAATTTATGAAGAACCTAAAAAATGTGTATATTTTTTTAAATTATAAAATATATAAATAACAAAATTTAAAGTTAATCAAACCTCTCTGGTGTTTCCTTGCAATGTACCAAACAATGCACCATTACCATCCATCACAATGAAACCAAATTTATTGTCATCTGCTAATAGTGCTGTTAGTGCTTCTGTATGAAACTTTAATATAAATCATTGTTAATACTTAATAGGTATAATTTAAATTAATGTGTTCTTGAGTGAAAACTTAAATCATTTTTACCTTATTATCACAAAGGTACAAAGAAGTATTAATGGGTTTGAATGGCTCAAAATCAATATTGACTTTCTTTTCTTTACCTTCCTCAGTCACAATGGTTCCACAATATACAACTAATCCATTAGGCGGAACTAATAAATAAAACATTGATCATAGTTAATAAATAAGACAATAATAAAATTAAAATTAAAATAATTACCTTTAGTATAAAGTTTTAATCTTTGCTGTACTGATGTAATAGCACCCAATACTGACAATCTGTTTACACGTGACTTGATGTTTGATGCAGTACCATATTCATCAGCCAACATTTTACTCACTCTAGAAATCTGATCCTTAGGTGGTATAATTAATGATATCATACTTGTTCCATTACTAGAAATAAAAATTTAAAAATTGTAAACATGGTAATTGGGTTATTTATGTTAAAATATTATGCTTTGCTTCAAAAACTATCATTGATCTTTAACACTTCTAAAAATAAAATTGATTAACCATTAAATATTATTATAAATAGCAACTTATATGGGGAATACTATCTTCTTTCTAATGCAAAACAATGTCTTAAAAATCATAATTTAAATAGACCAACACGAGAGTAAAAGTATAGACACAAATATGTATTTTTTATATAAATTTCCATTAGTATCCTAAATTGGTCCTAAAAAATTACTTTAAATAAAATCACTCATATAAATATATAGATTAAGTATGCTTAATATTATTTATAATTTCTTTATTTGTTTTTTAAATGAGTCTAATAGTGATTTATAATATAATAGTTCTAGATATAGATATTTATTTTAATACAAAAAGAAATCATAACGTCTTCCAGTTTCCTAAATACTTCCAAAAGTATTACCTAAGTAATGTAAAGATATACCACACCCAGAAGCTATAAGAGCAGAACATTAGATTACTTCTGGTATAAAATAACTAATAGGGATATATCTACTTATCAATTATCATTTTTAACTTATAAATTAAAAACATACTTAAAGGTTTTTTTAATTTACCTTATTGTTTAATACATACATACAATAATATTTATTATGAATTATACAATTCAATAAAAACTATGGCTACCTATCTAACATAAATACAAATTTTAGGGAAAAAATATCTAATTCCTATGAAATGTGTTTTGTAATATTGGACTTTGAGTTATTTAGAATCTAATTTTTAAAAAAAAACGAAACCAGACAATAAAAACAATAATATAAGTTATATTATTATGTACATGAAAGTTATAATAATAAAATATGTTGGATAATGCGTACTGAAGACATTTATGGCCAATGCCTACAGTGACTTTCATTGTGAGACATTTCAAGACTGGTTATAAATAGTATAATTATAAGTGGAAAACAATATTTTTTATGGAATTGGATTGAAATTAAATATAAATTTATTTGCAATGTATTAGTATAGACTATTCACTATGGGACGTGACTTAAGCAATTTCGGACGTTGACCTAACAAAAATATTACTTTATACCAATTACTATAGGAAAACTCCGGAAATCATTTTATTAGATATCGAAATATACACTCGTTAGGCATACCAACGTCTTGTGGGGCACATATGCAATGGTAGCGACGAAGTAGTACCTCAAACATAAGTAGGTAGGTATGCATAATAGTACATTGATGTAATAACGTCACTTACCCTCTGGCCATTTCTAGACTCTTGATGAGTTTCTTAATCTTCCATATCTCTACATTGCGATCCGAAGTGGTCTCTTCGCCGTTAGTGGTCATTTTGGGCGAATAAGAGAAGAACGAAAGAACGATACGAGAAACTGAAAAAACGCACAGACGGCGGAATAGCGTGCGACTGTGTCGACAATTCTCAGCGGGTTTCTACGGTTGTCCGCGACCAGGGCAGTGACGACTGGCGGACAACAATGGTATACAATAAAATATATTATACACCGTCGTGTCAAATTTTATTTTTTTCTGAAATTTGATCAATTAAAATGTGCGGTTCGGCGAAGTAGGTTAGGCAGGCGCGAGGAACACACTCGATCGCGCACACACACTGACAAACGTCACACGCACACGCACGCACGGCCAAACGGTAGGCAGCAGTCGTGGACACGGGCACACGCACACGACGCAAACGCACGCCACTGGTCGTAGTCGATGGGCAGACGGTCGGGGTGCAGTGGTGTGGTCCGCTAGTCCGTGATAACTGATAAGACGAGGTGATAACGCGGCCGCGGCGTGTGTCAGTGTCCGCCGCCTCGTCAGCTGCGACACCGTTTTGACTTATGATCCGCAGCGGGTAATGCGCCTGTGACGGTAAGAGGAAAAATGTAAATCGTAATTCAATATATCATTCGTCATAAATCATAATTAAACATAATCGTCGTCAATTCATCGTAATTCATTACTGTGACGGTAATTCATAAACGGTCGACCTAATGACCAAAAAGCTCTCATTGTCGTCGTCTACGCTTACTTCTAATCGTTTACGGTCGGGAAATCCGTTTATTGAAATTTTGGCAATAACAGTATAGGTACTCGCTCGAGTTGGGGCCCGCTTAAAATACGCACGAATGTGCATTTCTTGTCGATGACGTTACAAAATAGAATTACACATTTTTGTCGTGGAAAACGAGTGACGTAATGACGTGGGGTTCAGCTCTGAAGACGTGTGTTGCTACACGATTGCGTCTCATACGCCATTACCGTCCAGAATAAACTCTAATTTTTCGAAATTTTTGAAAATGTTGATAAACTACGTGAGCGGGAAAAAGGATCAATAAAAAGGGATAGCGAAAGTGAAAGGAATAAATCACTAAGTCTGGCAGATCACAGCGACATCTGTGCTTGCGAATGCCGGGCCACGTTAGTCTTTACCATACATGTCTACATATTATGCTCATTGGACGGCCACCGTCTGTAAACGAGTTTGCGACTGGACAGGGCATGACTGAAGTCAATAGTTCAGTTTCAGTATTCTGAAATCTGTGAGCAGAATCTTGAATTGTATTTTTATGATTTGAAAATTTGACACTATTGCCTTTTTTTTTATTGATCGATGATTATAGTGATACCAAATTATTATTTAAACTTTAAAATTATGAAACAGATGATCTATTAAAATACATGAATGGATAAATATCTCAACAAGAGCAAATGTATAGGAATTAGGAGTAAAGCGTGCTTGTACTATTTTTTCTTTTTATGTATAATGTACATTGACTGCTGACTACTGTGAATAGTGAATAGTGTAAATTAATTAATTAAATACTTCTCACCTATCAGCTATCACAACACATTCTCAACACTATCACGTTTATAGTAGATAATAGAATATTCTAAAAATTTAATATCTATAGAGATAAGAGTTACTAATCCGAATTTTCAAATATTATTATTTATTTATTTGTTTTTCAAATTGTTCGAAAACTTGAACGATTTAATGAATATAATGTATTTTAAAACTTAACTAACCTAAGATAAAAGTTATGAAGTAGAATTTAAATTTTGTAATATAATAAAATTATCATGTCAAAAAAAAATCGAAAACTCTTTTCAACAAGAACCCAAAAATACAAAAAGTAAGTACCAACTCCTAAATCTATTAACTAAATGAACACAAAAACTAATTACACTACATAAAATGTATATTGTTAATTGTTATAGTTATACAAGTTAATGACTTTATATTTGAAAGAGTATTGAATCTATAGATTAACAATAATGTATTTATTTTTATTATTCAATCATCATTAAAGTTGGACTTGGTTTCTCAATATTGAATTTGTTAACAACATTGACCAACTATTTAATAAAACCAATAGGATTATATTTCTGAGAATACAAATAAAATGCTTAGTTTTAGTGATTAGTATTTTGCCAAAATAAATGAATGATAAACTTGTTTTGCTATTAGTTATGTTGTTATGTAAAAGTATGAAACTTAGTCCATTATTCCAAAAGAATGATGAAAATTTACTAACATTTAAAAAAAAAGTTTGTGAAAAATCCTTTATTCCAAATAAATTCTAAATGTAGAATATGAAAGAAGAAAAAAATAATGATTTGGAAAAATTATACTACTCAACATAATTTATGGAAACATATATTTTATTATCTACCTATTTAAATAACCATTTAATAATTGAGTTTATCAATTATATACTATATTATGCTATTATTTATTTATTTTTTATTTTTTAGGAGCATAGAAGAATGTACAAATATCATTGCCACTTCTCCTTTTTGGATACAATTTTCAGCAACTATTAAAATGGTACTAAATGGATCCAATCCATCATCAATTCTATGCTATGGACTAGGAAATTTTTTTGAGAGTATACAATCTAAATACCAGTTAGGTTTACTTTTAACAATTAAGAATGAATTTAAAGTGAAAAACTGTTATGTTTATGATCCTAAATTCACGGATGCTGAACGTACCCATTTAGCTGAAGTTGGATGTGATTCACTTTGTGAAAATGAAGAAGGAAAACGGCGTTTGTTACCTGGTACATTTGTATATATGCCTCATTGTCCAAAACAGTTATTAAATAATTTATTATGGGCTAATTGGAATAAGGAAATATTAACAAATTGTATAATTGTTTGTAATAGTATTGATCAAACAGTGACTTCAACTTTAGACCGGATTTTAAATAAATATGCTTATTATGTACAAAAAATATCTCCATACGTCATAGAAAAAAAATGTTGTGATAACTTTATTTATGATGATGTTTTCAATGATATGGCACTTCATATATTTCCTGATGAAAAATTTAAGGAACTAGAAAATATTTTTTGGGAACGTGGTAAAGAACCATTGTATGATAATGATGAGTTAGAATTTATAACAAAATTTGAATGTATGTCTTTCCAATCTTAATAAATAATCTTTATAATTCCTAAAAATATTAACATAATTATTTTTTGATGATTCATTTATAAATTACTATTGTTTGTTTATATATTTTACTGATATTGTGCATTGGACACTGAGTGATATATTTGTAAAAATTGTATAAAAATATATTAAAAATATTTTATTTATCTAATTTGGACTAATGTTTTGTTTCTTCTGATTTTATAATAACAATATTACTATAAATTCAATTATGATACTAAATTCTCAATCTTAACCAATAAAAAATTTTTAGGGTGTTGGTAGATGACAGATATGATAAACAAAATTGACTTAAGTTAGGTTAAGGTATCTCACATATATTTATTGTGCTTAATTGTATAGATCGTATATTTCTTGTAAAAATAAAAAAAATAAAATAAAAAAGTTTTTACTGAAAATATTTTTAAAAAATTGGGAAATGGACAAAAACTCAATTCATTCATATAAAATATACACATATACTAAACTTTCATACTAAGATTCATGAGTAACTTATTTTTGTTATATGAAAATAAGTTTTGATGCTAATTTTACTTTTATATCTAAATTTTTTTTTTATTTTAAATAATATTCATTATCAGTGGCATCATTTAAACAAAGATCATTGGAGTAGCACTTGGCTCAAATCCTCCCTCCCCTCAAAAAAAAAAAAAATTGTTTTAAATGCAAGATTAATGTTTGGCAATATTTTTAAATTAAAAAAATAATTGATATATTATATTCTTAGGTTTTAATTAAAATTTATCAAAAAAAAAAAAAAAATGATTTTAAATTTTATTTAATACATTTTATAAGTAAGTATTTTTCATAATGCTATAAAATAGTATGAATGTGAAGAAATATAAAGAAAATTAATAGTTAAAATTAGTGGATTTATATAATTCAACAAACTTTTTTTGATATTACAACAAATTTCTAGAATTAGCTTTGTCAAACTTTATATTTATTTAATTGGCAAAATTTTTTGAGATCTAAGAAAAATCACCCATTTATTTATTATACAGTTGTAATAAGATTTTTAATCCTGTATACCACAATTCCATATTTATTATCAATTACTACTTATTCACTAACTATAAATAATGTATTATTTCTACATAAATTTGATTTTACATTTTCTAATGATAAATGTCAATTTAAATTTTAATGATAAGATTAAACAAAAGATCAAATAATAGACCAAGGTTTTTACAATACCTATTATCTATGGCCAAGTGATGTAAAACTTTATTCTAATCTATCTATTAATTGTAATTAAATCTATACAATCAAATAAAGAAATTAAATATTTTATGAAAACATGATAAGAAGTAGCAACTGTTACACTACTTTTTTCATAAATGTTAAATTTGATACCAATTTAGATTTTTCACAATGTTTAATATGTTCAATTCAATTTTTCTGTATTAATCTTATTGTAAACAATTAAATTTTATACTAACTGTACTTTATAACTCTTTCAACTTTCTTAAATATTAAACTTATTTAAAAAAATATTAAACATATTTTACATATTTCAGTTATGATATTTTATTTTAATATAATATATAATAGTATATTAAGTATATAAAAAAAACTGAAAAATAATTATTGTTCATATTCTTTTTTAATAAACTTGGCAATAGTGCTTAGTTGCATGTTTGTTGTTCCTTCATAAATTGGCCCAACTTTACAATCTCTATAAAATTTTTCCTGTGGGAAATCTGTAGTAAAACCAACTCCACCCATCCAGTCAATGCATACTGATGTAACTTTACCGGCAACTTCTACAAAAATTATAACATGTATGGGTAAAAGATTAATTTTCTAAATTTTAATTGATTTAGTTTTATTGTTTACACATCAATTGTTTCTAAAAAAAAAGTAACATCAATTTTTTTCTTTAAAATTTTACCTGAAGCGTAATATTTAGCCATTGCTGCTTCTTTAATATAAGGTAAACCTGCTTCAACTAATCTTGCAGTATTGTACACCATTAGCCTAGCTGTTTCAACTTCAGTCACTGCTCTAGCAATTTGATGTTGCATAGACTAAAACATGATAAATTTATTTTACATAAATATACAAATAAATATACTTAAACTTACTTGGAAATCGAAAATTCTTGAACCAAATTGTTTTCTTTCCAATGTATATGGTATTGTGTGGTCCAAACATCCTTGTGCTATACCTACCATTTGCGCTCCTATTCCTATCCTTCCTTCATTAAGGTAAGTTATTGCAATTTTATAACCTTCACCAATTTCACCGACAATATTATCTTTATGTACCTATATAAATATAAATTCAATGTATAAACAGGTACCTAATTGTATTTAACTGTGTAATTATACTTTGACATTATCAAAATGGAGCACACATGTGCCAGATGCTCTCATGCCTAGCTTATCTTCTTTCTTAGCAACTGTAAATCCTTCTTGATCTCGTTCTACAATAAAGCATGTAACACCTTTATGACCCTAAAATATTATTAATAATTAATATAGTTTTAATAATTTTCAAATAGATACCTATACTAGTAAATTTTCCAATAGAAATTTAAAATAGGTACCTACTTTAAATAAGTAATACCTATACTGAAATAGTTAGCTAGGCACCCAATTTTAAAGATTATAATTACTATACAAATATTATTAACCATAAAGTAAAATGTTTAACCTTGGAAGGATCAGTGTTGGCAAAAACATAAAAAATGCCTGCTATATCAGAATTTGAAATCCACATCTTTGTTCCATTTATATAATAGTGGTCTCCATCTTTTTTTGCTGTGGTTTTTAAGGCAAATGCATCTGATCCTGATGAAGGCTCCGATAAACAAAAACTGCTTACCTAAAATGATTTAGTATTTTTATAAATGTTTTTGTTTTATTATTAAATATTTATTAATGAAGTGTATTTAAAAATTAAATATTTGTAGAATTTTTTATCAGGCAGCAAAAATAAATTAATACATTTTAATAATAAAATGACCTTGCAGTATTACCTACAAATTATAATGAAAATGAGACATTCATTATTTAGAACAATTTTACATATTTTAAAAACAAAATAAAATTATTCAATGATGCAATAACTTTTTTTTTTCATTTTCTGAAACAGAATAATTTTTGGAGTATAGGTACTTATAATATATTCACATTGTTATTAGGTACATAAAAATCGAATTTTTAACAAATGGATAATTAATAAATTACAATTATAAGTAATTTCAGTTCCTATTTATTTAAATAAACGGAATGGATAAGCCAATGGCACAGAAGTTAAAGGGTAGGTACCTAGGTTATTATATTATTATTTTACTTTTATACCCCGAAAAAGGTAATTGAACCACTACTATGTCTATGACTATAATAATAATATAATGCACAGTAAAAGACGCTTATTAGAAACACTTTGGGACCAAAGTAAATTGTGTCAATTAACCGATTGTTTCTAATAAGCGATTGAAAAAAAAAATGAATAATAGGTACGTGAAAAAAATATGTATGTATGTATGTACCTATATATATTCTATAATTTTATTTAAAAAAGTATGTACAAATGTATATATTTTACGATATTATTTAAAATATTTATCAATCGTAATTTGTTTTTTGCGTCGAGTAACTCCATGACCATATTTTCATACGAGTAATATTGCCCCTTTGGCTTTGTCACTTATTTTGAGTGCGTATGTGTGTTCAGGTAGAGCTCTAAAATAAAACCCAGTCTCGGCCGCATTTAAAATATCAGAAGGTGTGTATTGGGCTAGCAAATCGGTCTAATGAATTTCAAACCACGATTGGTCGCATGAAAATTGACTAAAATCTTAGCGTTTAGACATTTTTAGATTTTTAGAAAAAGAAAACACTAATAATCTTTACATACGCACGCTGAAGCTAAACTACCAACGGTACGATCGGTACGTACAGAAAGAACATTCTCGTGATAAATTACAGTAAAAATAAACGTAACGACAGCAAAGATAAGATTGAAGTACCACATTGGTTATCGCCGGATAATCGGTGTTTATGTCAACTAATCTTCTCCCAATTGTTTCAAATAACCGATGTGATGTTTCAATAATCCGATTTATTTTCAATATTCTAATTACATCCGATCCGTCCCGAGACATTTTGTTTCAATAACACGATTGTATCAATTATCCGTGTTTCTAATAAGCGGCTTCTACTGTTACTGTATATTATATTAAACTTGTTTCTAGAAATAATAAATTATAAATAATAATTTGTTTCAAAATTTTAGGTAATAAATACCAATTAGTTTAGTTTACCTATAGGCTACAATTAGCATATATTATGTAAAAATATGTGTTTGAAAATACGATGCGGCAATACCTATCATATACCTGCCTACCTACACGGCTACACAAATTATCTGTTAAGAATGTTAAGATCATAAGTAGTTTTTCTTACAATTGTTACAGCATTGATTTTTCTAATTATTCACATCTATTGTTTAATTTCAAATGATTTTAAATAAAAATAAAATTATTTGATGGTATTTTATTAATTATTTTTCTGTCCTCACTTTATGTCTAAATTCTATGATGTATTCCTGTCCCTATTCTCTAACAGTACTTGGTTACTTCCTACCTATTATATCGATAGATACCTAACTAATTAGACACAATGCAAAACTGCGAGTCGAAGACAAGTAGGTATAATATATGTTTTTTAATTTTAAGTTATTTTATTCTTTAGACACGGAGGATAAATGGTAATCACAATATAAGTGACTAAGTGAGATGGTCGAGATGAAAAAAATGAGTTGAATTAGGTTAAAAAAACTAACTATTCTTAGTAATAGTTTATTTGATAACAGTAGGTAGGTCAAAAATCATTATGATAATAGTTAATAATAAGTAATAACCTTAAGGTCAATATTATACCTTATACAGTTATACACCATTATAAATTATAACATTATTAAATAGTGCTCACTAGCTGTTCATTATTAAAACTAATAATCAACTGCTGTTGTAGTATTGAACTAATTATACACTTTACCTGATTTACAATGATTAAAATAATTTAAATTTTAAACCAATAATTACCAATTAGATTACTTTTAAGAATATCATAACAAAATCATCCTTTTAACTATTTTTATAGATGTGATAAGTGCAGTATAAACATAGGTACCTATTACCTAATGCTAGGGTGAGATACACGGTTTCTAGTTATTACTTATTTTTATGAGCTGAATTAAATATAATATGCCTAAATGGATATCATTGACTTTAATTTATGAGTTATAACAGATATTTCCAAAACTTATGTAATATGATGAAATGGGCTTGATAGGACTAAATGGTACCTATATTACTTACCACACACTAGTTATTACCTAGGTACTTATTCCTAGAACTTAAACGAAATATTGTTATAATTTACTAAAATATAATAATATGTACTTTTAGCCTATAGGTTGTAGCTATTAGTAATAATGACATAGGTAAATATTATTATACTATAGTATACCTATTATTTTGTCCTAGTCCTTTTTATTTCGTATATTTATTTATTTATTTTTTTTTGTTACATTAAACACTAAACCTACTAAATCAAATGATTCAGGTACTGAAGTCTAAAATATATTAATAGTAAACTAGATACTTACAGTGTTTTGTGCCAACCGAGGTAAATACTTCTCTTTTTGTTCTTTATTACCAACTTTTAATAAAAGATTATTTCCTAAGGTATTCTGTAGGTCAACTAATACTGAAACCGAGGGATCAACTTTGGCTATTTCTTCCACTGTTAAAGTGCTAGACATAAATGACGATCCAGATCCACCATACTCTTGATCTATTTCAATAGCCATGAACTGTAATATTTTATGGACAAATTAATTATGTATTAAATAAATACAGTGGCGTAGCCATGGGAAGAAGGCAGTAGGCTATGCCCCTCATCAGTCGTATCAGCATTTTTACATAATTATATTATTTTATAAGTATGGAAAATTCGTTGAATTTTAAGTTTGGCCCTAATCCCTATTTTTAAATCCTGGCTACGCCACTGAATAAAATAATTATAATACTCGAATATTAACTATTTAATCATTATGATCTGTATTATTTAGAAATATACTATAAGTAAGATATATTTACGCCATTTTCGAATAATTTTTTCACAAGTTCATCGTCAATTTTATGTTCTTTGTCCATTTTTTTTATTAATGGTGCAATTTGATCTTGAGAAAATTTTCTAACTGCAATTAAATAAAAACAATTTATGTATAGGTAAGTATCTAGTATTTGTATAAGTATACATGTCTATTCTAAATTCTAATTATTTAATTTTAGAAATATATTTTTAACTATATATTATAATATCGTATATATAATATGTATATGTATAAATATACTATATATTTCTATTGTCTATGTAGATACCTATATCTAAGTACAAATTGTATATTATATGTATAAGTATAATTTATGTAAACATAGATAGGTAGTATATTGATTGTAAATATGTCTAATGTAAAATGTTTATAAACCAGAAAATATAGTGAATTATAAGTAAGTACATAAGTATTGAAGTAAAAACATACCCGTTTCCTTAAAAAATTGTTCATCTTCGCTCAAAATAGATAACGGACTCGGAGCATTAGTATGATTTCTTCTCAATTTATAATTATTACTACGATTTGTAAAATTATTAAATCCATTCACGAACAAACTTGCCTAAAAAGTAAATATTTTTTATATTTTTATTCAAATAATAATAAAAATAATTATAACTCATTGTAAAAACATGTATGGTGTAATTTTTAAATTCATAAAAGAATATATAAAATAAGTTTTATATTATTTTTCTACAAAACCTATTAACTGATTTAGATTCTGAGCGGAGCGATGGTGTATATATTTTACAGCGATGAGTGTTTTCTTTCTGTCTGTCATTACCTTTTGAAGCAATAAAAATGTATCAATTTTCAATTTAAAGGGTGATTTTTGCTAAAAAAAATGGATCTATAGTTAACACTTTTGGAATAAAAATTACTTATATTCCAAGTAAGTACTTTTAAAAATAATCGTGATTCGTGATAAACAAAAACCTAAATAAAAGGAAAAACGAATATCCGTAGATACTTTTTGAAATTGACATTTTCTATTCATAAAATAATTTAAAAAATAATTCGATTCTTTTTTAGTTATACAGCTATATATAACTTATTTGACAGATATTTGAGTTGTGGTTTACTCCTCAAAGATGAAGTACATTTAAAATCTATCATACAGCAGAGTAGTTACCTACCTACTTCCTCCTTTTTTTATTTATGAGAGTTTGAGTATTAGATTATTTGACAAAAGTAAATCAAAATGAGAAAAATGTACTAATTATTTTGTAGTTAAAAGAGTAAATAGTATTTCATTAGTCTTCCAAAAACCTAAAAATGTCAAAAATAAGAATGCATATTTATTGATTTATTGGCTTTAATTATGTATAATATATTATTAGGTACAATATTATTAAAAAAATTAGTTCAATAATCTTCTATTTTGCTAATAAAAAAATAATTTACTGATGAACGTATGAAAAAATTTAAATAGATTATAAAATTTCCTTAAAAAATCTAGAGGATAACTTGGTGTCTCAAATACATTATATTATTATCTCCGTTAAAAATCGTTTTTTGTTTTTATCGTTGACCTAAGATTTAATTCATATTAATTACAATTTATAACAGTGCACTATACTCAATAAATACGTAAATTTGATGAACATATATATAATTTCTAACCTTCCTAGGAAGCGCTGAAGCGTTTCCAATCTTAATTTAAGCATCACAAAGTTCCTTTATCTTTATAATTTCAAACATCAATAATTTACTTAGTTTTAACTAATTTATTTATTCTCTAACCATCATAATATATCGTAATATGTTTAAAATTAAACTCCTAAAGGATCTTTAAAGAGTATAAAGTTATATGTTGGTACAATTATACGTTTGATAAATGTTGTATTTATTTATTTATAATAAATATTATAAAATGACACATTTTTATATATGTTGTTATTATAAGTGTTTGATTATATTTCATAGTACATTGTACTGTTTGTAATGTTTGTACTATGTACATTGTACATTTATAAATTTTAGGTTAAAATATAAATTTTAATCTAAATAATCAGTCTGTTATTTATAGAGTATAATCTTTTCATTGGTTCTAATTACCTGATACTTTTCTTATCACATGCATAATATTATTTATACAAATACCTACAATTTATTCTAATCTAAGTTTTGCAGTCGTTTGCGTTGGCGGTATAACTTATTTACTTAATTTTTGTAGTCTACATTTATTCGTGTATAACTTATTATTTCATACTTACAATTTCGTGATCAATCATAAGCATACTTTACACTATACATTTACAGAGTGTCAGAATATCTTTATACATAGATAATGTATACATAACAATGATAATAGTTATAACAGTATTATAATATTTATAATGGAGAAGCCCTAAGTGAAAATTAAGTTTTAAATTAATGAGAGGAAGGGTAATATTATTTTTTTAAGTAAAATATGAGGCCCAGCACGATTTTTTTGTTTAAATTATTTTAACAAACTGTACATATTTTTAAAATTTATAAACGGTTAATACAAACAATAGTTTTGAAGTCTGTTATTATAAAAACACTAACTAGACAACATTATTACAAATTGTTTATTTTTCTACATTCATTTACGTACTTAACTGATTTACTATATTATTTCTATTTTAAAAATCTCATCAATTATTTATATTTTGTAAGTACCAAAATCCTAACATAGACGTACATATATAGCATTTTTTGCGATCATTATTAGTATAAATAGTTAGTAAGGCAGTGGACTTACTATGTTAAATAGCTTTATAACTGCATTCAAATCTCAAAAAAACAGTATATATTACACTGTAAGTATAACTAAAATTCATAGTTTAAAAATATAAAAATCTATCAATCGTAAAATATTTTGAATTAAAAATTATGTTGGTTAAGGAGTTTTGATGTGCGTAAAAAACGTATACCTATTTATAAAATTAATTAAACAAATTTTAATAGGCAGAAATTATTAAAAATATAGAAAAAAATAATAAAAAGATAAAAATTAAAAATGTTCTCAAAAGAAATTTTAAATTTAAAATGCCAAAAAATAAAAGTTTCGAACTTGAATTCTTTAATATAAATTCAAACTTTGTGTTAAAGAAGCTATGTTTTACATATTTTATAGATTTCGGTAAGCTTAAAATAATGGTTTTTTCTACAAACTCGTGGTTCTAATAATAATAATTTACCTATCCATAAAATATATGTAAATCTTAAAAAATAATAATTATTATTTCATTATTAAATTAAAGATACATAAATATTTTTCTATAAATTATTTTAAAATATAATTCTTTAATTTTTTTGGGGTCAAGCTCCCCCTAAATCATCTTCGAATTAGGGTTTTCAATTTGTTCCCGTACTAGAGTTATATACCAAATTATTATTATGAATGAAGCATAAATTTAAGGTTGAAGTGATAAAGTATCAACGATATGAATTATTTTGCATTCAATTTAATTAATTTAATGGAATATAAGCAAAACATTATTTATTATAATATATTTGTAACGAAAAATTTCATTTTTTTTTTATATTTAATAAATACATACATAACAATAGTATAATATGCATTATTTTTCTAATAAATAATCTTAAAAGCAATTAATAATTTATAATTAATGTGTTTTTAATTTCTTTATTTAAAGGTTGTGTTTATTACTTATTCAATATTTATAAAGTAGGATATTATTTAATTTAATACATACATACCTTTAATTGACTTCTAAGTATTATTGATCTCATATTGTTTTTTTTTTAAAAAAAAAAAAAAAACAAAAATTAATTAAATTTTAATTTAATAATATTAAAAATAAATGTACTAAAATTAAGTTTATACACGTATGTCTAACACGTCTGACGTCAATAAACTCTATAGGTAGTTCTGTTCAGTACTTCAGACGTTGAATACTTGTACGGTGTCGAGTGTACTACACTACCATAATATGTTACAACTATACCTACTGTACCAACAAATACTTTGATTGGACGTGCTCTAAAGATGTTTATAATTCAGTAATCTTTTATGAGATACCGGTTTTAAAGTATGTACAACACACAATAATATTATAATATGTTATATTATGTTGTAATTGTATACTATATTGTGATAATATTATAGATACTTACTTATAATACACGTTAATCATAAAAATATAGAAATTATTGTGGAGCGTATAATATTATTGAATTAAAATAATTTTATTGTTACATAAGAAATGTAAACTAAATCTAAAAAAAAGTATACCTATGTCATAATAATTGGACAGTTTTTTTTTATTTATTTATTTATCACTAAGATTTCAACATACGTTATAATACTTAGACAATCAAAATACTAAGCACAAATATTTAAGTTCCTTATTTTATTAAAAAAAAAAAAATCGTAACGAATAAGTTATATTATTTGTGTTATAACTTCCAATCAAATTATATTGACGTTATATAATCATGCTTATCTCGTATAGTTAACACTATGTTACAACTAAATATTTATTTAGTGTTAATATTAATAATTTGTACTTATTAAATTTAAATATTTATAATTATTTATATTTATATATTAAATTATTTATTGTCTAATTCAAAGAAACATAGGTGCTTCAGGATATTTCTAATATTTTTACTTGGTTCATTAGTTGTAACCTAGGCAAGCTGGCTTCTGAATTTTTACGCCTGAAGTATGTTTTGTTTTTCAAGAATAGAATTCGAGCCAAACGTAGATCATTCCTGTGTATTCTCACCAAATATTTTGGCAGTGTAAGTAGTGTAATGAATAATGTCTACTGATCGACAATGGTTATCAACGTTTTACGCTATAAATTATATCAATGAAATTCCACGTGGTCGATGATTTTTATATTAATCAATTCTAAATTAATATATTTCATATACTATAAAATTATTAAAATGTTTATATTGCTTTATTAAATTTACATTTAAATATTATATTATTATTATTTATTATTATTGCTGGTAGACGTACTAGCCAACATACCGATACCATGTAATATAGTTATTATGATGTATGTGCTACCTTTTATAAAGGTATAACTACAGGTTACCGAGTATTATACACTACTCAGAGTATTACCTAAATTTTCTTTTTTTTTTTTAATATATACAATCAATAACATATAACATCAATAATTATAAAATACTTAAATTAAAAATTTAATTTTTAAAATGTGTATTATAACTTGGAATAAAACTTATTAAATAGGTAGGTGCTATATTATATATTATAGTCTAAATGAGAGATTCTCAAAGTGGTCTATATTAACCCCCGGGTAGTTTTGATCTACAATAAGGGGTCCACAAAAAAAAAAAAATCTAAGTAAAAAACGTGTGTTTTTACGAAAAACACGTATGTGACAATGCAAACGACAATAATTTAATATCAAAATATCAGACTCACCATTCCCATTAAAATTATAATTTATTTTAATTTGCATTTTTTGTCATTTAAGCAATTGAAAAATTAAATAAATATTGTTATTATTATAAAATATTCACTCCATAGAAAACCTTGTTCACGTGAGAAGCTCTGTGTATAAGCTATATTAAAACACCATTAGCCATTAGATACATGGTACATTGGTACATTAATTCGTAAAAATTCAATACCAGGTTTCTACGAAAATTTAAAAAATTGGGACGTGGTATACGAAGAAAAAACTTTGAGAACCTCTGGTTTACATAAACATGTTTATGCTTAGTTAATTATATCCGTCAGTTTTTTACGTTACACCGTCATGGTGTATAATCATAGTTTAAATATTGAACTATTGATCGCTTGCCGTTCAAATACGTCACTATATATTTTATACTAAAAGGACAAAACTAATGAATAAAGTCCAGGTGAAGAAATTATAGAGAGTGATTTTGCAGTAAAGACAAATTACACTTGTTTAGTAATAATTTAAAATCTTGCAGTAAATAAAATTGTCTAACAAATGTTTTAACTAAAATTTAACCAAATAATACGCTGTATAGGCTTATATGAGTCGCTATAAATGACTCTTATGCGATCGTCGGTTCAATCTACGAATCGGTCTATAGTTTATAACTAAATGGCTATACCTATATTGTGTGTAAACTTTATATTTTTGTTGTATATATACCCCGAGACCCGAGTCTATGAAGAATATATAGTAGTAAAATTATTAGTAATAAGCAGTGGTGCAACTAGTTTAATTGTTTTGGGGGGACTGAAGTCCCACATTTTTTGTGACTGACACAGAATAAAATGATGGTAACTTTATAACACAGTGTTGCTACTAACCAATAAAAAAAAAAAATCCAAGACGTATTTTTTAATAAAAAAATCAGTATTTATTTTTCATGAACAAAAAAATTTTAAAAGTGCTAAACATTTTTGGGGGGCTAAGTTCCCCCAAGCCCTCCCTATTTGCGCCACTGGCAATAAGCTAGTCCTTAAAGTGTAATAGTATAGATTCTATAACACAATACTATGAACTACACGACTACCTCTCGGTTAGGTCGCTACAGATTATTTTGGTGGAGTAAATATTAAATATTTCAAGTGAAAATCTACAAGGGTTCATAGGCCATAAGGATACTATTTATTTTGATACTTGGGAATTTTTTTTATGATGACCTACACATCAAACCCGGCCAAAGGGAATCGAGGTCATCGGATTTGCAGGTGATATTGTGTCGTTATGGTACTTAGTCGAAACTATAAATTCAAAAATATTTTTATTGATTACAATTGTTTTTCGCAGTGTCTAAATTTGTCTAACATGTGCTCTTTTCAAGAAACTCTCACAATATTCAATCAACATTCGCCACTACATTTAAAACTATCGCTTCCAATAAGTATGTTAGATAGAATTCGGAATTAAATAATATATCGGTTAGACATGGTGAGTGTTATATTTGTGGGGAACATATTGACAACTTAAGACAACGTGAAGAACAAGACAAGTATACAGTATAATCATTGATATTTGATTTCGAATTTACGATACACATAGTGACAGTGTAGAGAAGATACCTTTTCTCCATCGTGACGATACAATATATTATTATATTCAAATTAAATAATTTTGGCGGCAATTCGTATTTTTTTTTTTTTTTAGATCATTTGATTTATACAATATAATAATCAAAATTAAAAAAAATTGTAATTATGTTTCATATTTCTAGTCTTTAATCCTTAGGGCTTAGATCATATAATACTGTATACAATATCAATTTTCGTGATCAAAGTCTTTACCCATTTAAATAGATAAGAATAGTATCACTTTTATATTCTATCTCAAACTCTAACTTTCTAAGATATCATTGGTTGGGATCACGATTTAAAATAATACGGTCTATGGATTGTTTCATGGTTGATAAGAATGATGTGAAAATACTGAAAATTATAAAACGAAAAGAGCCGGGAGACGGGAACCTATTATTATTATTTATTAAATATTAATATTATTATGCTGAATAATTTACACTTTGTGCTGTGGAATTGTTGAATGTTGAATTGTATTTCTACTATATATATTATATACTTATTTTTTTCAATTTTTATTGATATCTGACGCATTTATACAGCATTCAATTATTGCATACTTATATATTTAATTCATCATAAGTCGTGATGTTATTGTCGTATTAATTATATATAATTTTGTTAACCCATTTCATTTTTAAAATTTCATATTTGTTTTTATGATCAACCAGTAATTTTCACGTATTGAATATGAATACCGATACTATTTGTAAATTGTAAGTAAAAATCTTCAGTGAACCTACTATTAATATTTTATTACTTAATTAAATGTTTGTATCACTAATATGTATTTTCTTCAGTTGTGATGAGAATCAAAGCAGATATGTTTGTCCAAAATGTGGAGCACCTTATTGTTCCTTAATATGTTATAAATCTCCGATTCATCTGGAGTGTTCAGAACAATTTTACAAAGAATGTATTCAAGAAGAATTAGATGTTCAAGATTCAGATGATGTAAGCAAGAAAGAAATGATGGATATTCTTAAAAGAGTATATGGAGAAAATGAAGATTCTGGTAAATGTTTCTTAATGTTTTAACTTTAATATTTCAAAAACTGGCTAAAATAAAGAATACCCCAAGCTTTAAAAAATGTACTCCAAGTTTAATAATATATATCAATAACATAAATCATATAAGATTTATTTTTTATACTTATATAGATTGTAATTTGTTGCACTATTTTAACATGGTAAATGTAATTTATTATATTACTGAATATTTTAACTAAAAGTATAAATAAATAATAATGCTACCTATAAATTATGTTGTAAATATTGAATTTAAACCATATACTTTATAATTTAATTTAGACTATTAAATATTTCCATTAGTACTCAGTAAGTATCAAAATTTCAACCTTTGTTTAAAAAAAAAAAATAATTTTTTAAAAATCCATTCTTTTATGATTTTAATTTACATATTATATTATAATTATTTCTCAGTTGGTATCAAGCATAGTTTATTGACTAGATTTTCCAATTACATATTCATTAAAAACTTTAAATAATTGATTTTTTTTTTTTTTTGTAATCAAATGATTTTTAGTATTATCTTTAACAAATGATATTTATTAGAATATTATTTAAAAATAGATATGTTTAGAGCTGAGTATGTTACTACATTTAATTTTAGACTCCTGCTAAAACTTTTTTCATAGCGATGATTAATATTAGATTATTTTTGGATTATAAATAAATTATTATTTATTCTTTTATTTTATATTGAAATTTACCAAAAATATAGGACATTACAGTATAATATATAGGATATGACTTTTACAAATCAAAAAAATGATAAACTTGTTATTAATTATTATTTATTATAATTTAAATGTAAACCTACTTAATGTAGAAAGTGATTCGGATGATGAAGAATTCTTAGATATCAACGAAAGATTAAATGGAATTGATCTAAATGATGCTGAGAAAGTTTGGAGTTCTTTAACTGACTCAGAAAAAGCAGAATTTGAACACCTTGTTAAGTCTGGTGATATCTCGAAAATTCTACCTCAGTTTACTCCTTGGTGGTGTTTACCGTAAGTGAACTTATACAATTTTCAATATATTTTCTAAAATCAATTATTATATTAGGATTGAAAAACAAATAGTAACAGAAGTTGACGAGAATATAAATGATAGTGAGTTTCCACATTTAATAACCAACATCCCAAAATTTTCTTTACTTTCAGTAAGTACTTATTTTATGTACAAATAAATAAAACAAGTTTGAGAATATTTTTTTTTAAAACTACTTTTATATATATTTAAATATATAATAAATTAGTGTATTGTTTTTATAAAACATTTAATTAAAAATATTCAATCTGTAAGGATATTAAGTCAGATATTAAAATTATCATATATTAATGATGTGTTTATTGTTTTTTTTCTCTGCGTAGTTTTTATTTAGAACTAACAAAAAATATCTTTATTTTTTAATATAAAGTAATAAATTATTAGTGATAAAGTAGCTACAAAATATTCCTTAGTTTCTATTTGTTAATCATTTCTAAATAAATAAAAGTAAACATTGTAGATAATTGGAAAAAATATATATAATTTTAATAAAAACTGTATATATTTAATTAAATTATTATTACCAGTTAAAATATACTCAAATATTTTAGTTATAAATACATATTGAATAAATATCAATATTTAGTATTCTTGTAATGTAATTAAGATGTCTTATTTAGAAAAAAGCACCATCAGACTGCATTAAATGGAATTTAGTGAACATGATAACTTCATATGTGTTTTTGATACGATATTATAATGGTAAACATAAATCGTATTTAACAGAATTTATCAATGGACTTTATAATTTGTCAAAAAATTTATCTTTTAATCAAAATTTTGAATCATATGACTTAGCGGTAAAATCTGTTGAGCTTTGTATTCAAGAGGTAATAAATAAAGTTCATTAATTAATATTGAGTTGACTATTAAGTTTTATATTATTTTGGTTTTCAGCATGAAATGTTTAAAGGTTTTCAAGATGGTTTTAATCTTATAAATAATGATTTGGAAACAATATTTAGTAATGGTTTGGATTCAAACTGCAATCATAATATTAAAATAGCTTTATCTGATATACATAATTTACTGACAATGTATAAAAATGACCAAAAAAATGCTTCATTGAGTATGTTGAAAAATAATTTAGGTAGCTAAATTATATTTTTGTTCTAATTAAAATAATTTTGCTTTCAGAAAAAACAGAACAAGGAGAATTTAATAAAAAATTTCCTGATGCTAAAGCCACTTATTCTATTTTCGTAGACGTTAAGAAAGTACGTTTATTATTGAAAAAGATTGAATATTTTTTAGCATGGGTAGATGAAAGTAAATTATAAGAATAAGTAATAAGTTATTTTTTTTATATATATAATTCATTGATGTAAGTTAAATTTATTTAATACAATGGGAAACATTGTTAATTTAATAGAAAAACACTTTTAAAAATATTTTGTTTATTGACAAAAGTACAATATTGATTTAATATTCTATGGATAAATTTGTTTATTGTTCATTCGGTTTTAAATATACTTTTATACAATAATATTTTAAGATAAGTAAAATTTTTATTTTATGTATTCTTATAATAACATTAAATTAAATGTTTTGTATCACTATATTTTGTAAGATAAATGAATTCATTATATTTGTAATGGAGTTATATTTGTCAGTATAAACATTGTATCTATAATCTGCTTACCTGTTTAAACAAATGTAAGGTAATTTAATACCTGCAAAATAAACATGTAACATAATATTTTAAAACTTTATTCCGCATTTAATTTTTATTATTTAACATTTGCAAATTCTTAAATTTCTTATAGTAAAATAAATGCAAATTTTTACTAACAATAAGTTAATATAACTATACATCTCCAAAAACATAATATGGATAATAATAGCTTATTTACTTTTATACAGAGTATTACAATTTTGAGAAATACAAATTATTTTGTGGTAAAAAATACATACAAGTTTATTCTCATAGCTAAGATTTATAAATTTAACACAAGGTCTTTATAAATTTGTTTACAAAAATTTAAAAAAAAAATGACTGCTTAATTCTTTATATTTTTAAGTGTTTATTTACAGTTAAAATTTGAACAAAATTTTTTATCATGTATTAAATAACAATTTCTTTGAAACAATTTTAATTTTTTTTTGTTATTCAAAAATAAATAGCATAGGAACTAGAATGTAGATACCTTTTTGACTAAATTTGTATACATATATTTTCCATAGATAATATAATATTTAAGATATTTTGAGTTATTTATCAAAATTTAGAATTTAAAATTTTTTTTTTGAAATTTAGATAAAAATGCTTTCAATATCTCCAAAAAACTTTGAAAATTGTATGCAAAATCTCAATTAAGTTTTTCATATAGCTATTTAAAAAATGTAAAAATACGTGAATACAATTTTTTTTATAAGCATTTGATCTTCAAATTTTAACAAAATTTACCAAAATCAGGTTTATTTTAAAATTATTTTGTAGGTACTAAAAAAATGTATAAAATATTCAATTTGTACTACGAAGACTTAAAAATTTAATGATATAAATACTTCATGATGGAATCAAAATATAAAAAATGTATTGGTAAACATAGGTTAAATTTTTTTTTTTATAAAAATGAAGTTTAAATGCACCCACTACAAGCTATGCTTTTGGGGAGGTGTCATAAATTGTTTTAGTATTATTATCTTTGTGTAAAATATTTATTTTTGACAATAAACTTATATTATTAAATTTAGACGAAATGTTAACGATTTTGTTTTAATTCAAAAATATTATTTATGTCTATATTATTCTTTACAAATTACAATAGGTACCTATTAAATAATATTTTTTGTAATTTTTTTTTTTTATTTATTTAAGAAAAACCATAATGAATTACATAGAATACAAAAATATTAAGTTAGTTTACATGATTATCTATATCTTTTAAGCTGTAGCTTGTGTTAGATATAGAGAGTAATATATTAATAATAATTAAGAAGACAATATAATAAATCTACATATATATAAAAGTAACTAAGCACAAAGTTAAATAAATTAAGAGTTAGAAATAAATATATAAATAAACAATATTAAGAATAATTTTAAACTTTTTACACTTCAAACAAATTAAAGTAATCAAACAAAAAATGTATTCACTTCGTTCATAAAAGGTCTATTATTGACTCGTAAGTTAAATGATTATTGTTAAAAATAATTAATCAATTTATTACAATATATAGGTATATTATAATCATTAACAATATAATATAAATAATACTTTTTTTTTTTTTATTTTACGACACAAAAGTATTATAGATGCTTTTAAATTAATATTTGCTGTATCTTTATATCATATAATATAATATCTATAATACCTACATCATTAATATATCTGATATCATTGGATGACAGACGACCGCCTTCGCTCAGAATTATTTTTCGTGTGCAATGGTATATCTTTGAATCCAAAAAAAAAAAAACATTAAATAATTATTTAAAATGACATACTCAACGCTTATTTATAGAATAACAGTATGCTACTGTGCTAGTACTTACCCAACTTCCAATTACACCAACACTGATTATTTTGAAAAGTTCTAGGAATTTAATAAAGTTGAAGATTTATTAGAACGAATCATTTTTACTATCCAGCTCCACTCTAAAAGGCTGTGATCAATTCAAAAATTAAACACAATATATAACTGTAGAATGAATTCCTACACAATTTCTTATTATTAACGTCTATTCCATCACTCAACTCGGAATAAAAAAAAAAACAAGAATAAATATTTACTTTTTTGATAACATTTTAACAGGTATTAATAATTAACTATGTATTTTACTGGACAGGCATTAAACAGAATCTACCCACACTTAATGTCCACTGGCCTTTACTTATTTTCGATTCCATTTGGACATAAAAAAACCTTAAAAACCTTGAAAAATGCTCTACATGGCTGTGTCATATAGTATTTGCTGCAGATAGAATTATTATAATGGTAATTGTTAATTATATTTCCCGCCATTCACAAAAATAAAGTCTGTGTTCTAAAATTAAGTTGTTCACACTGTAATAAGCGTCCGCGTCATACAACATCAACTGTCCACCATTTTGGTGTACCGCACACAGACGCCTATGTTACGACTACGAGTTATTGACTCGTTTACTGCACTAGATTACTGTAATACTGTTTGTCGTGTGTTTGACTTAACATTTTTGTTTGTGAATTTCAGTCTCAATAATTTAAATTATTTAACGTTTGATTAAGATTTGTTGACTATATTATCGTTTTATTCACATCACATTTCCTAATTTTGTTTGTATCACGAGCTTCCTCATCAAACATGGGATCTGACGTAAGTAAAGTTAACCTACCTTGCTCGAATTTAGAACTTTAATTATAATATTACCTTATTGGAGTCAATAACTATAATTATTGAACTAATTTTATACACACACTTATCTATCTAACAAATTGACCACGGCTTACTTGAAGTATTTCTATATCAACGATTACCTAAGTGTTTTTTTAATTGTAGGAACCAGAACAATACAGAAAATTATTCATCGGTGGTTTAAACTACACTACAACTAATGATTCACTTAAAGAATTTTTTGAGCAATGGGGAGAAATTGTTGATGTTGTTGTCATGAAAGACCCTCAAACCAAAAGGTAAAAAATCTTTAAGTTTTGTAGTGTTAAATATTATAACTAGTAATTAGTCATTTTTAATTTGTATAACGTGTTTTTATCTTTAATGTTTAGATCTCGAGGATTTGGATTTATTACTTATTCTCAATCGTCTATGGTTGATCAAGCCATGTCAAATAGACCTCATAAAATAGATGGTCGTGAAGTAGAAACCAAGCGAGCTGTTCCTCGTGACGTATGAAATTTACTTCTAATATTTTTAATCTTATATATTTTTACGTAAAATTAAAAAAAAATTATATGTTTATATTAGATATTAAATTAACTTTTTTGAAGTATAATAAAATTACTTATTTTAACTAATCAAATAAGAGTAAAAATATAATATTTTTTGATCTTAGGATATTGATAAACCAGACATAGCAGCTACTGTAAAAAAAATGTTTGTTTCTGGTATAAAAGAACAATCAGAAAATGATCTTCATGAATATTTCGGAAAATTTGGCAATATCACTAATGTAACTATAGTAACTGATAAAGATTCTGGTCAAAGAAAGGGATTTGGATTTATTGAGTATGATGATACCGATTCAGTTGATAAAGCTGTTTGTAAGTAACATTAATGTACATTATTCTTACTGTTAAAATTAAACATATGTTTGTTTAAATCTAGTGATCAAAAGTCACCAAGTTGCTGGAGGAAAATTGGATGTGAAGAAAGCCATCAGTCGTAGTGATGGTGGTGGTGGTGGCCGTGGTGGAAGAGGCGGTCGTGGTGGTGGTGGAGGAGGCGGTGGTAATAGAAGCAGCTGGGGTGGAAATCATCCACGAAATGACCAATGGGGAGGACACCATAACAGTAATTATAAATCTTTACATATTAATTTACAATTATATTTGTATACATTCAATTTTTAATAATTGTAGTATTCATAAATTTGATATATACAAAACTTTTAACTAAAAAAATTAAGAAAATATTTTATTGATACTTAAATTTATCTAAGCTCTTAGTTTTAATTAGTTCTGACTAAAATTCTAAATAAAATCCCATTTTATTAAATTATTAAAAGATGATTTTTTTTTTTAATGTAAGTGAAACATGTTTATATTAATGACTTAACTAAACACACCTATTTGGTTTCTTTGTTATTCATATAACTGAAATTTATCATGTGTTATATACTTTTTTATGTTTTTTAGGATCCAATGGTGGCGGCGGAGGATATGGAAATTCTGGAATGGGAGGAGGATATGGCTCTGGCGGTGGTGGTGGTGGATATGGAGGTAGTGCAGGTGGTTACAACTCAAATTCTGGTGGAGCTTGGCAAGGTGGTGGCGGTGCTCCTCAAAGTTGGGGTAACAATAATCCAGCATGGGGCAACCAAGGAGGAGGTGGCGATAGTTGGGGAGGTTCACAACAACCTAGTAAGTTCTATACATTTATTTTCTTTTTATTAATTTTTGTTTTATTTCAATATATGTTTTAGGTAACAACTGGGGTCCAAATCAAAGTTATGGTGGTGGTGGTGGCCCAATGAGGTCAAATTATACCTCTAATAATCGTGCTACACCTTATGGAAACCCAGGTAGTTGTATTTATTAAATTCGTGATTATTCATTAAATATTTAATTACAAACATTAATTGTGCAACTTTTCTTTATTTAGGAGCTGGTAATGTAAATGCTGGTAATGCTGGTTACGGTCAAAATCCTGGTCGGCGGTACTAATGCATAACTTTCATCTAAAGGTATACAAAGTTCAAACTTTATTATCAAAAATTGCACCCCAATTTATTTTATGATATTCGTATATTTTTAGGATTTTAATTTAAAATGGTTTTTTATTTTTTGAAAATTGTTAGGCAGGATCCGAGGAGGCAGTCTGTTAGGCAGTATAAACAAAAATAGGAACTCGTACCGGTTATTTCTATGTATTATTTTAAACCGTTCATGAGTTGGGTAATAATGACACAAGAGCCAGTCATTTGAAATACATTCTCATCCTCGTCTACTGCACATTCAGTTTATTAAATTTATCTAATAAGTACAATAATGACGTGTTTTGTATTGGTAATATACTTTTTATATTTCTCAACTATATCTTTTCTTTTGTATTTTTTAATTGAAGCTTACCTAAGTATTTGACATATTTTCAACGATTTTGTAAAAGTGAATTGTGTTTTCACAATTTTTTTATTACGACCGTAAATTAGGATATAGGTTACTTAATATTATAAATAATTTCATAACTGTTAGTCTTAATAAGTATGTAGAATATTCAGAATGATTTGGTTTTTAACAGTCTTTTGATTCGTACAAATTAAAAGGTTATTAGTATTTTTACTTATAGTTAATTATTTTAAATGAACTTATACAATAGCATTGTTATATTTTTTCTTACAATAAAGATAACAATCTTAATAACAATGAATTCTACAAATATTTATTTATAAAATTATATTATTTATCTGGGCATTTGTAAATGTATTGCATTAAATTTTAATTATTTCAGTTAATGTGTATTTGGTTGTTTAAGTTTATTTAGTTATTCTGTTGTGTGCTATAAATACACAATTGAGAATATATCATATACCTTGAAATTATTTACAACTCCTATATTCCAGTAATTTAGTTTTTTAATGTAAAAAAAAAATATTTATCTTGAATCAAATTATATAGATAGCAATATTATATCTGTCTCTATAGGTAAGGTATGACTTTTAAATATCTATTAGTTAGTAAATTATAATGTATACATCATTTGTATGTGTGTATGTTCATTTAACATAATATATTATAAACTAATATATTGTATACATTTTCTTCTGGTATCCATTTTTTTTTTAAATAATGGCTTGATATTTTATCATTTAAGTTAAAATATTGGTATCTAGTAGGCACAACAAAAGAAAATTAAAAATAGTGTTCAAAGACAATTAATAAAAAAATAACATAAAATATCAAGCAATTTAAGTTACATAGTTTTAAGATCTTACATACTAAATAAAATTTTATAAATACCCCTAAAGTTTGTTGATATGTAAATTTTATAATTCTGTATATTGAGTATTGTGAGATTTTTTTTTTTTATCAGTTAAGAACACGAAGAAGAATTATTTTTAAGTTTTTGTTCTATTCTACTATAAATTTTTATAACATTACTTCCAAAACTAAATGTTTTTTCCTGTTTAATTTTTTTTTTTTCTGGAAAATGTTAGTTAAATTTAGTTAGTAATCTCTTAACCAAATCTACTTATAATTCACTGGTAAGCATTTAAATTTGAATATAATTAATGCAATCTATTGGTTTAAATTGTTAACATATTTTATGTGCAAGTAATTGAAAAACAACAAAATTGAATTTTAATTAGGTTTATTAGAAATGATCCATAGGAATGTTAGCCTGTTAGGGCTTAAGCTGTCAACAAATGTGTTTAAAGCTTTCGTCAATCTACATAGGTGATTCAATTTAGGGCAGCAAACCTCGATTGTCAATCGTAGGTAGGTCATCCAAATAAAGGTAAACTGTTTATTTTCCTGTAGGGTTTGTTAATAAACGCTAATGTTTTCATACCCAAATTGGATTCATATTTAGCAACAAATTTTGGCATTATTTTGAATTTTCTTGTACATACAAATCTTTTAATGATTCATGAACCTAGGTAGAGTTATTCATAAATATAAAGTTTATGTGAAAAAATCTAATTCTAATAATGACTTAAAACCAAAATTTGTTGTATATTAGGGGATCTAAGGATATAATTTTTTAATTGAGTATTCTATTTTTTGTTCATGTTTAAATGTATTTCTTTTATTTTTATTAGGATGGAAGATGACTGTCAACTGATGTACATTCACCATGAATTAATATTTATGATATGGATCCTGTCACTGAAAGAAAGTAAGGATTAGGTTTGTTTTTCATTTTAGTACATCAAATTTAAAAGTACTAGATAAATAAATGATGGCAACTAAAATTTGACAAGAATTTATTTATATTTAATAACTTAATACACTCGGCCTTTTGTTATTTTTATATTCATATCTATACATATAAATTCCTAATACCTTACTCATTGATTGCTGTATCTTGAACACCTGTGAACTTGAAATTTGGAATAGTGGTTCCTCTAATTACTTTCACCATACTATAAGAAAATATTTTTAAAAATGTTATATTTAAGTGGACTAATTAATAATTTCAATTATTTTAAATTAAAACTTATTGTGTGGCATGGCGGGAGGTTTTAGCTACTGCTTAAACTGGGTTTTTATCTATATCAATACCAGCCGTACGGTATGTAGATATGAATTGTTCCAAGAAATTTAGTTAATTCAGCTAATTTGTAAAATAAAATGACATTTGATTTTTCTGGATCTAAATATGTTCATACACTAACAATTAACATGTATGTAAATTATTGTAATTCCCTTTCCCTATATATATTGTTTAATTAATATGTGACCTTTGAACATTTAGTTGTTCTCGTTAGATTGAACTAATATCTTAATTTTTTTTTACCAACTAACAATTGATGTAATTGAAGCAATAATCCATTAAAAATTATTTGAAATATTTACAGTTACTTATTACTTAACCAATTAAATTTGAATATTCAAGAAATTTCTATACTTTGTTTAAAATAAGAGTGCATCACTCCTACGCTTACAGACTGAGTTACTATATGTTGTTAACCTTAACCCAGAGATGATAGCTTTATACTCATCTCTTTGGGCTATTAGTTATCAATGTCAATTTTACGTTTATTCATTCTTGTTTTAATGTATAACTAAAAAAAAAAAATGGATGTCATCTCCTGTTAAAACTAATTCAACATTTTATGGTATCAATTTTTTTAAATTGAATTTAAGTTATGTTAATATATATTTTTCAGATTTATTAAGTATATACCATACACAAACAGGAAAATCAGTTGATCCGCTGAAATAAATTTTGATAACACAAAAAAATATAAATGTTTACAGTACTGGAAAAGATCTTGTCACAGAGCTGTATTGGCAATTATGCATAGAGCAAGGTAAAATCTCATTTTAAGATTCTATAACTATATCAAATTAATATTAAAAAAATATTTAATTTGTACAATTTAACAGAAAAATTAACAATTACTTAAATATTAATGTCTGGTTTACAGTTCAGACACTTTAAAATATTTTTCAGGCTGGCGGTGTTCGAAAATTACTACGAAATGGAGATAACATTTTTATAAAGCGTAGAATTTAACTTGTATTTAATTATGAAAAATATAATCTTTTTTAATATACTTAGTTTCTACTTTATTATTCCTATTTATATATTATATTGTCAATGTTGTTAAATATTTATCTATAGTTAATTGTATAGCATATTTTTCAAGTTATTTCATGTTTCTATTATGAATGAAACAATTTAAAAATATTTGGAATCAATTTATAAGTACTCTTCAGATAAATAGCAGTATGAAATACAAATTTAATTCATTTTGAATACCATTTTATTAGATAAAACTGAAAATAAAAATAAATTGTAATATAAATGAAAAAAGAAACTTAAATTAATATAATTTTTGTTTAAATACATTATAAACTGTACACATGAAATAAATTACTAAAAGCTAATTTGGCTTCAAAATATAAATTAATAATCAAAATATAATTCAATAGGTCAAAATTCAATTTGTATACCTAATACATATAGAATGCTTTTCATACCTAGTAAAATTAATTACAAATAAATATTTAACTATTGAGGTTAGTGATTAATAATTAATCTCTACAATGTTTTTCATTGAGTTGCTTCTCAAGTTCTTTGATTTTAGATTTACGATGATGTAACATCACTTTCATCATTTTACTATCATTCTCAAGTTTTGCGATTTTGTTAATCATACATTTTTGATCAGCCACCTATTAAAATATAATTGGAAAGTGTTTAGACAGTATTAAGATTTAAACAATAATATATTTGTAAAAAAAATTATTAAAGTTTTTATAACTCGGTACTCACTAAGCTTTGATCTTCAACGGTTTGAGTGTATTGATCAGCTATACATACTTTTTTAATTTCTTTCAACCGACGTAATTCTCTGCGCAACATATGATTCTGTACAATACATAAACTAATATTAAACTTATTTTAAGTGTATTTTTCATTAAATCATATTGTTATATAAAAAAAAAATCAATTCATGTCAAACCATCTAACATATTGATTAAAATATGTTCTTTTTTTCATAAATATTCTATTAGAGACATAAAAATATAACAAACAAATAACAAGTAAATAATTTTACTTCATCTTTTGCTCTTTTAAAAACAATTTCTAATTCGTTGTTCTTCTTTTTGAGATCATCAGAGTATCTTTTGGAAAACAGCTCCAATGTGGCTATTTTCGCATTCTTATCCACAACACATCTATTTAATTGTTGAATGTCTTCTTTCAATGTCTTTTCCAAATTTTTAGCAGTTTCTGTTGATAAAATTTATAAAATAGTTAATAATATAGATTTTTTCTAAATCTTGAATATTACATCTACCTGATAATGTACTGTACTCATTAAACAGTTCTAAGTTTTTAGTTTGAACTTCTTGTAGTTCATTTTTGAGTTGCTTTAGCTCCTTATCGTGTTGTACAATTAGCTGACCTTTGTCTTTTCTTAGTTCATAAATGTTTTGCTCATAACTACATATTTCATCATTTAATTTTTGAACATCATTATTGACATTTTTAAATTGTTTACATTTGTTTTTCAAAAAATCTCTTTCTTCTGTTAACAATTCAATGTTTTTCTTCAACACATCTACTTGAGTCAAAAGCTCGGTTATCTTATTATCTTTATTATTTACCTCCTCTAACATAGAATCACATTCATTGTCTAAGTTGACATTAGCATGTTTCAATTCTTTAATTTCCTCTTCTAAATATTCACATTTGGTCATTAATGAACAAATATTTTCGTAGATTATTTGCAATGTACCATTGCACTTCAGAATTGTACTTAATTTTTCAATTACACTATTTACTTCAATTAAACCACCATCATTAATTTTAAATTTAATTTGATCTTTTTCGTTATTTTTATTCATTTCTTTTAGCAACTTTTCTGTACAATACATCTTATGTTTCATATCACTCAAATCAAACTGTAAATCATTAATTTTCTTTTCATAAAGATTTTTTGTTTCTTCCTTCTCTAAACTATAATTTTTAATCATTATTTCATACTCATTTGTCTTCAATTTAAATCCTACAAGCAAGTGTTTAATATCTTCATCTTTTTTTTCAATAACAGATTTTAGACAAGCACATTCTGATTGAATCTTTTCTATTTGATCTTCTAGACTTGAACAACTGCTTTTTTGAACTTCAGACAATATTAATGATTTGTTAAATTGTTTAGTTCGATTATCAAGCTTATTTTTCAAATCTTGTATAGACTGTTCTGAACTAGTCTTAAACTCTTCAAATTCATTTAACAATGATTGATAGTTTTGTTCACTTGTTTTATTCAATTGAGTCTTTATTTCTTCTAACTCACTTAAATAATTAAAGGATAAATTTTCTGCTTCTAAAACTTTTTCGGTCAGTTCTTTTATCTTTAATTCTCTACCAGAGAAGTTGTTTTTTTGAAATTTAAGATTTTCAAGTTCAAGGTTGAGTTTTTCATTATCACTTTCAACTTGTTCTTGCCATTCTTTTCCTTTTTTTATGTCTTCTTCCATCTGTTTGATTTTATCTTCATAGAGTTGTTTAATTTTATTGTGATCGTTAACTAAGTCAGTTACTATTTGATGTTCTTTAATCATTATAAGGCCAACAAATATATCTAATAAATTAGATAAATTATGATCAGTAAGAACTCCTGTAATTTTTCCAGGTTCAAGAAGATTAATTTCATTTATAATATCCCTTTTACCATTTCTTAACTCTGAATCAATGTCATAGCTATTATCAATTTCTTTTTTAAATTCCTGATTATGTTCTTCAAGTTTGGAATGTTCTATTTTGAGTTGGTTCAATTCATTATTTAGATCACTTGCCAACAATATTTTTTCTTTCAGATCATTTTTCAAAAATTGAATATCATTTACATATTTATCGTTTTCATCAGATTGTTTTTTAATTTGACAATGAAGTTCATAATTTTTTTCGTCCATTTCTTTATTAACTGTTTGTAGAGTATTTATCAAAATATTTTTTTCTTTTAAAATCTTATGTAAATTGTTCATTTCTAAACCAATATCACCATTAGGAGCTTCAGGTAGGGAGTTGCAGCTTATTTTCCATGTCTCGTCGTGTGATAAAATATCATCAACTGACACAACTTTTGTTCTAAATTGTTTTTCACAGTGATTTCCTGATATCATTGCAGAATTGAGTTCAGTTAATTTCAATTTAATATCGTGCACATAATCAACAAGTGGATCAATTAATTGATTTCTAACATCACAACCATTCAAGTATTTTTCATTAATTTTATCATTTAATTTAAATTCAAGATTTTGTAATTCCTTTTCTATACATTTAGTTTTAATGCAAGCATTTTCTAATTCTCTATGCACACTATATAATTCTAATTTAAGGTTATCACAGAGGTCTCCAGACTTAAGTAATTCATGTTCAGCTTCATTCAAACAATACTTTAGATTTTGTTTACCTAAGTCTGCATCTTTTATTTCAATTGATAAAACATTAATAACTAAAGTCAAATCTTCACATTTCTTTTCACTAAGTTCCATTTTTTTAGTAATATTAATAAATTTTTCTTGAAGTACATTCAAGTTACATTCAAGATTTGCTTTTTCTTCTAGTAACATTTCTTCATAATTAGTTTTTTTGGCCAATTCTGATTTCATTAAAACAGTGTCTTCATTTAAATTCAGCAAAGCATTATCTTCAAAATCATTAACCCTGATATTAAATGAATTATTACTAAGAACTTTTTCATATTCTTTATTTCTTGATAATATCGATTCCAAATGTAATATTTTATCTTTGACTTCATCACATTCACAAGACTTTAACATATATTCTTCTTTTAGCCTATCATATTCTTGTTGTAAACTGGATTCAATTACTTGTTTTTGCAACTGTTCAATTTTTGTAGATTTATGTTGGATTTCTTCTTTCAAATTAGTTATTGTAATCGTTTGATATTCTAATAATGATTCAATATCACAAGATAAATTAATAAATTTTGTATATAAATTAAGATAATTCAATACATATTGTTGTAATTTATCTTCTAAACTATTTTTAATTTCATTATGATGTTTTGAAATTTCATTTGTTTTATCACATTTTGAAATAAATTCAAGATTTGCATTTTCTAATTTAGTTAATAAATTTGATTTTATAGATAATTCAGATTTCAATTCATCTATTAAAATAACATTTGATTTTATTTCATTCTCCATACTTTCTGTCATAGTCTGAACTTCACTTTTTTGAAGCATAACATGCTCTAATTCACTAGTTTTTATTTTAAGTTCATCTCGTATTTCATTTTCAACATTAATTTTGTTTTCCAGATTTATTTTAAGTTCAGTGATAATTTTGTTTAATTGATCAGAATTTTTACATTTAGTTAAAAGTTCTAAATTAATGTCTTCTAATTTTCTAATTAACTCATTATTTTCATTAAGAGTAGATTTAATACTTACAAGTTCACATTTTAGCTCTTCTATAGTAGAAATATTGGATTCGTCTTTTGCATTCAAAATGTCAATTAGTGATTTTACTTTATCAATTTTGACAATTGCATCATCCAATTCTACCATAATAATTTGTAATTCATTATTCAAAGCTTTTTCATTGATTAACTTATTTTCTAATTCAGATTTAAGTTTGGTAATAATCTTTTTTAGTTCATGAATTGTTTCTAGATTATTAAAAATTGTTGCTTCTGATTTATTATTTTCAAATTCATTCTCAAATTTAGATTTTTCTCCCAGTTCAAATTTAACAATATCCAGTGTATTATTTAGTCTTTCAATAAAAGTAGCTTCATAGTTTGCTTTTGTTTTCATTTCTTCAATAGCTAATTGCAAAACATTAACTTGTGAAACTGCAATTTCTAACTCTTGAGTTTTTTTTACCAGTAATTCATTACAAATTTCATTTTCATTTTCCAAATTGATAGGAATTCTTTTTTCTTCTAATTCTTTATTTTTTAGGGAAAGTTCAAATTTAGTATCATTCAATTCATCTTTGATTTGTTTTTCAATTTTAATTTGATTTCCAATTAATGTATTAAGATTTGTGTTCAATATGCATAGTTCTTTAACTTGTTGTTGTAATTCATTTTTAACATCATTACAGGTAGTAAGTTCTTTTTGAAGATTTATAATTTTTGATTGATTTATCTGTACTGTTTCAATTAAATCAACACATTCAAATGTTAATATATTGAATGCTTGAATACTTGATTTTAAAAATAGGTTTTCTTCTAGAGTTTCAGAAAATTCTTTTTTGTATTTTTCTAATTCTGTACTTGATTCAACTTTCAAAGAAGAAATATCTTGAAGAATATACTCAAGATTATTAAATACAAATGATATTATTTCACTGAGTTTTATGTTTGATAAAAACAATTTTTCTTTTAAAATTAAGTTCTTGTTGGACAGTATATCAATCTTGTTTGAATTTTCTTCAAAATGATTTACAGCAAAATCAATTAAACTACCTGTATCAGAATTATTAATATTTATATCAGAACTACCACTAAATTCTTTAATGGTAAATTTAATTTTTTCCTCAATTGAATTTAGTTTTAATCTCAATTCATCATTTTCTTTTTTTATGTTATTCATTTGAATATTAAAATCATTTGTTATTAATTTAAAATTATTATTTTCATCTATTAAATGTTGGTTTTTTTGTTGTAATTGTTCTACTATATCGTAAATATGTTCTAATAGTTGATCTAGTTCCAATATTTTACACTTTTTAAGACTAAAATAACCTTCATCAGTTAAAAATTGAATAGCGCAAGGAACTGACTTAATTTCAGCTGCGTAACTTTGAAGAGATAACTCATTCAAAAGCGAACTTTGTTTAGACAATTCTACATTTAACTGGTCTTTATTTAACAATTGTAGTTTCAAAGTATCTATTTCATTAATATATGTATTATTCAACTGATACATTTCTTTTATTTGATCTTCCTTAGATTTTAACTCTTTTTTTGTTTCCTACATAAAACAAATACAAATACTAGTATAATAATAAATACTTAATGTCAAGATGCTAAAGCATAAAACCTGAATTATAGCTAAAAGTTCATTTTCTCGTTTCTCGAAATTAATTCTTTGTTCTTCAATAATAACTTCAATATCATATTTTTCATTTTCAATTACTTGAACTGAATATTTAAGTTTTTCAATCATTTTTTCATATTCATTTTTTTCAATTTTAAGATTGTCAACTTGTTTTCTCAAATTACTTAAATCTTTTAATTGCTCATTCTTAAACAAAACAATAAAAATCTATAAAAAATATACTCATAAATATTTGTTGGATACTCACATTATCATAAAACATTTGTTTTTCAAGAGTAGTGAATTCTCTTAACTCGTTGTTTTCCTTCATACTAATTTCAAACAAAGTTTTGTAATTATTAACACGTTCTCTTAAAACTTTTTTAGGGGTTTCACAAACATTAAATGATATACTGGAAGGTCTAAATAACAAAATATTTTATGTTAGAAATTATAAAGTTTGAGTTAAGGTTATTAAATTCAATAAGAAAATCAATTATTATTATATTACAACACTAAAGTAGAGTTATTAGTTAATAGTATAATACCATAGGAATATAATTTTAAAGAAATATAATGATTGTGAAGAATTTAAACAAAACAAAAGGTAAGAGAATAATGTACCAATTTGATAATACTACAATCACAATAAGGATCAAGCGATTGAACTAAAAATTTAAAGAAAATAAGTGATGGTACACAGGTACACATTCTAAGGGCATAATGGAATAATGTTGACTCTTTCTTTTTTAAAGACTATGTTTAGAGTTGCAAATGACAATTAGTCTAGTAAGTATCATCATGATAACTTAAATCCAAAATAAAAATCATGGCTTATATTGTAACTTACAAATTATATAAAATTGTTTAAAATAAAATGTTTCATTTAAAAATTTATGTGTAATTAGTTTTTAATTTTTTTTAGCATTATATGTTTTAATATTATTTATGTAATGATAATTTAATGTCAATCATTATTTATTAAGTAATACTGTTGACATATAAAAATAAATGGGTCTTTCGCATTATTTTTCTATCAATGATTGAGTGTAGCATTATATCGACAGTTACCCATATAAAGCATTATTTATTTTGAGGGGGCTATTAGTATATCAGGGGGATAAGCCCCCTCAGTCCCCCTAACTGCACTTATGGTGTATCCATAATTCTTTTTAGTAATAAATCACTGTATTATAAGTAACATTTAATACAAGATAGTTATGAAATTTATACATATATGATCCATGTCAATTGTATAAAAAGTTTTTATACAATTAGCTATAGATAAGAAAAAATATTAAAAATTACATGGCTGTATATTTCAAAAATGATAGACACATTATGTAGTAAATAATGTTTTAATAGAACAATTTAAAAATAATTTGACTTTTTTTTAGCATTAATATAAATTTGAAATTTTCTTTTTTTAAATAAATGCCTATAAAAAATTAAAAATGTTTGAAAATGTATTATGTATGAGATTTCATATAAAATATTCTATTTAACATGTAAAAATATTAAAAACATTTAAAATACATAGACACAGTTCATTTTTATAAGAATTTAAAGTTTGTCAAAACCACAATAATCTGCAAATTGTTAGCAGTTAAAAACTGAATATTAACTTTCTCATAAGTAGTTCATATTGAAAACAAAAACTCTAAAAAATAAAAGCATAATTTTTATTAACAGACATTTTAAACTAAAATTTTATGCTTAAACTATGAATAAAAAAAAGATGATATTTGTATACTATTGTTATAATGTATAATTTGCTTATGAAATATTTATGTTAATTATAATTTATAAGTTCATTCATTTATTTACTCAAAGTTAAAAGTTAAAATGATCCTGATAAGCAACTAAAAAACCACATAAATTGTATATAAACCTAACTGTGTTGAATCAAATATTGAAACTATCCAATTTTAGGTTTCATAGTCTTCTCAAAATATTTGATACAGATAATTTAATGCTAAATAAACAACTTTTTCTAAGATTGTTTATGTCATAATAACATGAATAAAATTTAATCCGGATAAAGCTAGTTAACTCAACTAATTTATCAATATTATTAAGACTTACGGAGAGAAATTATGTTCAGTATTTTCATTGTTTATGAATTCAGTAACTGCAGTGGGATCTTCTTCTCTAATTAAATTCCATTCAAATGATTCTAATGGTGTTTTCAATTCTAAAAAATATTTATATAAATCTTAAACATCACTAAATAAATATATAATTAAGAACAATTTACTAACCTCTATTTTGATTTCCCAAGTTAGCTAATGGATCATTTAATTGATGAATGTTATCATTTTCTTCAATAGTTTCAAGAACACTATTCGAAGAGAATGTATTATCGAGTTTTCCACTCCAAAGTCGTCTTTGTTGATCTCCTTTCTATGATAAAATATATTAGGTGATTAAACGTTAATAATAAAGTTTTTACTTAATTTACTTTAATTGAGGGTTGATCTTTATGCCCCACAGCTATTGTGGTCATATTATTTTGTAAATTCAGTAAACATTTATCTAATTCTTTATTGTTTTGTTTTTCTTCTGCATATTTGTATTTAAATTCATTTACTTCATCATTTTCCAACTGATCTTGTTTTTTACCTTCCATTTCTTTATTTTATGTGTTATAAAGTTTGTGCTTGCTAAGATAAGTGGTGCATTCATACATTCAATAATTTCCACCAACAATTGTAAACATTCCTTAAATTTATTGAGAAAGAAGAAAACTTGTAACAAGCTTCAAAAATGTTATTATAAAAAAATTATTTTGAATAAATTATCATAGGCCATAACACTCATTACTTACTACACATCTACAATACCTACTAGTGATCTGGATAGGACATAATTATTATTGTAGGTCTACTATAGTATAATAATTATAACTTTTAAGTAATTTAAGACAAACCATTAAACTTTAAAATCAATCTTAAACTTAACGGTCATTGACCACAGCTCATAAATCCATAACAATATGACTGTCAAAAATTATGAATTATTATCTAAAAAATAGTTGTTGTAAAAAATATCTTAGGTTGTTTTAATTTTCATTATTAAATATTAATAAACAAACAACACAAGTTACAATCTACAACTGTCAATCTAATCTATGAATTTCACTAATTCCAGTATGGAATTTCCTTCTGTTTATTTATTATTTTGTTATAAAAATAACACGGCAGGTAAATGTTTTTTTTTCTAGTTCAATAATTAACCACTATTGACTACAAAAAATAATGTTCATTGTCCATTCTCCTATTCGATATTCATAATTGTACTAGTATTATAGAACCTGATGGACGAAAAAAAATTAGATAGGCACCAAATTTGTAAATTTTATTTTACATTAATTTTATTCTAATAACAAATTCACTTAATAATAATTGTAATTATTACGGTATTTATTTAAATTTATGTTAAAATTAATTTTCATTATAAATACACAAAAACAAATTTTGTGTTTCGACCTTCGGGAATAATTTTTGTTTTAGGAGAATTTAATTTAATAATTTTAGTTTTGTTGATGTGTCTGGTTAAAAATTCTTGATATCATGTATTTGTCTTTTAGTTATATTACATTATATATTTTTATGCTATAATTAGTATATTATTATTTATACAAACATATTAGTACTACCTATTTTATACTGTAGAACTTATCTGTACTATAAAGATAACAAAGGTACATATAGGTTATACTAGGTATACTATACACTACCCGTACCTTGTACATTTTTCATTACAGTGTAGAATACCTTTTTGATTTATTTTATAATCAAAATCAAATTTAAAAATTGTAGTATTTATTTGAAATATTTTGAGTACAATCATCATTAATAATTATTAACAAGTACCTAGACTAACTAAGGCGTCGTTTAACCACACATTTAATTTACACTTTAAATAATTATTTATTGTCAATAAAAAAATCATCAATAAATAATTCTATACATGAAGGTTTACAATTATAATAACTATAAATAATTGTCTTTAAATATTTCAATATATAATTAAATTAAATAAATTACCTATGTATAATAATTAGTAGATATATAGATATTATTAATACCACTGATTTTAAAATTAATGTTAATACTAAGATTTTAGATTCTGTTTTTTTTTTTTTTGTGGCAGTATAATTCGAAATGAATAATAGCCGCTTACTTGAAATTTTCACCAAAAGTTTATATTATCATTTTTTCTTCATAGTATAATTTCAAAATATTTGAACTTTCGAGCTATTTTTAGACACGTTTTAAATATTAATTAATTTTTTTAATATTTTTAAATAAACATCAATAAAAAAATAATCGCTAGGTAAAAAGCTTGAAAATTGAGTTGGTACTAGGTACAAGCTTTCTCATTAATAAATTGTTAATTTGCCAATTAAAATATATTGAACATTTGTATTCATAATGTTTTAGATTCTAAGCAGAATGATGAATATTAATGTATTGATTTTAAAACGATGTGTGTTTTGATGTTTTTTTTTTGTAATTGAGTAACTAGGTGTATGATAAATGATAATCGGTCAATAAAATACTTCAACATTATAAAATAAGAGTGGATTTGGATTTAAAAGATTCCCGGTAGTTATTTTTACAATCGATAAAAATAAACAAAAAAATAAGAAAAACGGGAATTTTCACGTATATCCAATTTTTGATAAAATTGATTTTGTTTTTTTGATGTGATTTGAAAATGAATAACCATAGATACTTAAAATTTTTATCAAATATTCATACCGTTACTTTCAATTTACTATATACCATTATAAAAATATTTTAATTATTTTTGAATTTAACATAAGAAATTTTCAATTTTATTAGTTTTTTTTTTATAAATGACAATGAAAATTTTTTTGCTGGGTAGAAATGCTTTAAAATTTAATATAAAGCTTCTAATAAGTTGTTATCTTTTCGATTAAAAATATCGACGATTTATACTCATAATATTTTTTTATAAGTATTTAAAGTTAAAATTTTGATAAAATTCATAAAATTCTTTTGTAATTAAAAATCCATAAATATTATAGTTTTTATTCCTAAATCCTATTTAGCTAAATCAATTTCTTTGAGTATATAAAGTTTAAATGTTAGTTAAATTCAATAACCACCTTTATAATAATTACTTCTCCTCAAACAATCTTTGATATTTTCTTTAATTTCAAAATAATAAAATAATAGATACTTAAAATTTTTATTTAATTAAATAAAACAAATTATTTTACAGTTAAAAATTTACGAAAATTGTAGTTTCCATAGTTAAGATTTGAAAATTCCAAAAATAAAAAAAAATCTGAGAATTATATACATATAAGTATGATTTTTTTTTTTTTTTATAGACATTCTAAGTTAAAATTTAGATGAAACTAGGTAGGTAGGTACCTACCTATATATTTAAACCACGAACAACAATATTTTCAGCATAATCAATTTAACTTATTGCATTACTATAATAATAGAAAATTAAATTATTTTACTTAATATCAATTTCTAACTCTAAAAACTTTTAACACGAAAATATGAAATATACTTTTGATACTTACAGACTGTCTCAGCTAAAAATCATTTTTCGTACTTATACATTATAAATAAGTAGGTACCTATATACAATATGATCTATTCAACATTTAAATCTAAACTACAACTCTACAGCAAAACGGTCGACACTCACTTGCCCACATTTTTTAATTTTATATCTGCTTTTACCAATATAGCTACGAAATACTTGATTTCTGTTATAGCCTTAAAGGATATCTACCTACCTACAATTAAAGTGCGAGACACTGAGACACGAAGTAGGTATACGGTATACTACCTATGCTTTGGAATTTTGAATATCATTACTTTTGTCTTATTCAGTGAATTATAAAAAGTAAATGTATTTGTTGGTTTGCATTCTGAAATTTAATGCTACCTTTGTACCTATACCACGTTAGGATAGAACAAAATTTGTATTAAAAGTAAGGACATACTATTATTGTTATTAATTGTTCGGCCGGTAACTGTTTAGCTTTAGTGCATAACAATAATTTGACTTTTTCAACACTCAAAAATTTACACTCGTAGTACAGATGCCCAACGGTTCGGTTTTGGTACTTCTGACTTCAATACTTCATTGCAGTATTGCGCTATTTCAAGAATAATTTAACGTTTGAATTAGAAATTTAGAAAACAATCATTATTAGAAATTAGAATAATTCAGGAATAATTAAATCTTTCTTGTTATAAGGTTGGTGCACTGTTTGGGCCACTGATTGATGGGATTATTATCTTTTCCTGTTGGCAACACCTCGAGTTGGTGTTTTTTTTTTTTTTTGCGTTCAGTGTAACCACATAGTGACATGTGCACTGCATGTCGGCCTGATGTCACTACTACAGCCTGCTAGCCTGGTGTTTTTTTCACGTGCATTTCTGTGGTTTGTTTACTACACTGGCTAATTGAATTTAGCGGTTCGTCTTATCAAGACGAAACCGACTAATCGGAGACCAGAGTTCCAAAATACAAACTTCCAACGCCCGTCGATATCGGGCAACCTGTATTGCAGACCACAGTTAGTAATGTCGGTAATTAGTATTATACAGCACAATACCTAAACGTTATACATATTTTAATACTGTATACTGCAATATCAACTATCAATTTCGAATCGCGGCGCTAGTTGCGGGCCCGTCTTATACGTTAGGTTCTCGTGCTGTCGCTGTGACCTGTGAATTTTGATTTATTGCCGAATGCCGATGGTGTACAAACAGAACTCTATTTGTAATTTATAGTCGGTAAATAGTACATTTGTTTGCACTTCCACAGTTAGGCCTCTAGTAGAACTAGTACCTGTTAACGGCTATATATACCTACAACGAAAAATTGTCAACCCGAATATCGTGCTTTCATTCCAGCGGCTTTTTTGAGAGGCCCAATTTTTATCGTCACCAAATATATAATTGATCTTGTGTACATTTATCTCCATAGTACATACAATGAGTGTATCGGTAAGACTTTTACTTGACTTTTATAATGTTAAATGTATTTTATCGATAAACTTTTGTTTAAACAATTATTATATGATTTTGAATAGGGAGAGAATACTGTTGATGTAGAAGAACCGGAACAATTCAGGAAACTATTTATAGGTGGACTTAACTACACAACTACAAATGATTCATTAAAAGAATTTTTTGAAAAGTGGGGCGATATTGTGGATGTAGTTGTTATGAAAGATCCTGTTACAAAAAGGTTATACTTAAAGTTTTTAATTACCTATTTAACCAGTTCACTTTCTGTTTTATTCAATTAAATATTAATTTATTTAAATGTGTACTAAACATAGGTTATTGTAAAGGTCTTGCAAAATCATACTTAAAAACTTAGCATAATACAAAAATAATGAATAGAATTGTTTTATAAGTTAGCTTGATTAAAAATGGGAATAAACTAGTACATTATTAATTATAAAGTATTTTAACTCATTTTTATATCTACTTTGATTCAAGTGTAAAAATGACTAGGTATTTGATTAAATTTTAATCATATAGTAAATGTAAATTAATGTTACTAAATATTCCACGTTTATTTAGTTTATTTGCAGCTATTTTTTCTTGAAATTATACTGTAAAAAAATAATCAAGATTTGATGAATAAATTAATGTTAATTTTGTTCATTTTAATCAATTATATTTTGTTATAATATTTATTGATGTATGATTATTTATTATAGATTGAGATATGGGTCTGCTATTATTGTTAATAATTTAAAATGTGTATTTATAGGTACATGTTATATTATAAATAAATGTAGGAAGTATTAAAAAAGATTTTGTTTTTGATATCCATAAATTTGCTTATACTTTTTTGCTTTAGAAAATGTGAAAAAATTAAATTTTATTTATTAATTCATCTTTATATTAAATACATGAATTTACAACACTGATAATAAGTTGAGATTTTAAATGTTTATGTAACAATTTATTCTTTATGTATCTTAAAACTTATTTCATATTTTAGATCACGAGGTTTTGGTTTTATTACTTACTCAAAATCTTCAATGGTAGATGATGCTATGGCCAATAGACCACATAAAATTGATGGTCGTGAAGTAGAAACAAAACGTGCTGTTCCTCGTGATGTAAATATTTAATCAAATACTATAAAAATAATTACATTGTTCTATATTTTATGTTTTATTTTACTATGGTATAATTATAGGATATAGATAAACCTGATATAGCATGGACTGTAAAAAAAATGTTTGTTTCTGGAATTAAAGAACAAGCTGAAGAAGATTTAAAAGAGTATTTTGGACAATATGGAAATATACTTAATATTCAAATTATTACAGATAAAGAAACTGGTCAACGTAAAGGTTTTGGATTCATTGAATTTGATGATTCAGATTCAGTTGATAAAGCTGTTTGTATGTATTATATTATTTTATTTTTCACAAATAGAACTTAAATATTATATTTTTATTTTTTGTAGTAATTAAAAGCCACGAAGTTTCTGGATCTAAATTAGAAGTTAAAAAAGCTGTCAGTAAAGATGTAGCATCGGCTTCTAGAGGCCGTAGAGGTGGACGTGGTGCTAGTAGTGGTAGAGGACAAAATTGGGGAGGACCAAATAATAATTGGGGAGGCAAGTGTATTTTATTTTTATATGTTTAAACATATCTAAATTATAACTTATGAAGTTAAATAACTATGATCTTTAATCTAAAGCTGTTTAAGAATACACATCATATATATATTTGCATATTTTATGATATGCATATTGTATCTTATAGATCTTTCAATTTAAAATTATGTTAACTAATTTTATTTTTAGGTAATCATTTTGGTGGATATGGCAGTGGAGGAAGCAGTGGTGGTGGTTGGGCTCAAGGTGGTCCTCAAGGTTGGAATAATGTTTGGGGTAGTCAAGCTTCTCATGGAGGTTGGGGTAGTGGAGGTATTTACATCAACTATAATATCTAAAATTATTTATTATTTATTTAAGTATACTATTTATTTTTAAGGAGGTAATTGGGGTGGTAGTCAAAGTGGATATGGAGGAGGACCAATGCGAGGAAATTTCGGTAACAATAGAGCAGTACCATATCACACAGGTCGTGGTAATATTTTTTGTTGAAATAATTTAATAACATTTTTTTATACATTAATTATATGTATGTTTATTAATAATAAAATCATTTTTTTTAATAACATAATAAATTGATTTTAGGAGGTGGTGGTAATTTCCATCAAAATTCAAGAGGAAGGTACTAAAAGTAAGTATTGTATATTTAACATTAACATTTTAAACTGGAATTGTTGATGTTTCAAAATTATTCTTAGCTTGAGTAAAAATAATACAAAGGATTTTTTTTTGTTTTTATGCATAATGATTTTTTTTTGTATCTTGTTAGGAAAGTTGCTGAAGCAAGTCTGGTAGGAATCAATAACCATCAAATTTTCCTCCTTCAACTTTTGGGTATTGAACTATACAAATGATGTTTTTTTTCCGACAAAAAACTATCTGCTCTTCACATATTGACACTTAATGCCATTTATAAATCGCTATTAAATTATGTTAGTACAATATTTTGTTTATCATATTCATTATGATTTAAAATTTAGGAAAAATAAGTTAAAACATTTTATATACCTGCTTATATATAATATATATATATATTTTTTTATTTAATTAATTATTGTTTTTCCAATATAATTTTTAAAATTTAAAACACTGGTTAATTGAAATGTAATGCGTTTTATTTAATGGTGAATAATTTTTGTGTAACTATATTATATTAATAAAATAAAAAATACCCAGTCTTTATACAGGGACCAGAATACAATTGTTGTTGACTCAATAAATTTACTTATAATTCATAAAATATTTTTTTATTAGAAGGAACATTCTTATTAATGCTTAAATATGGTAGGCATAATTTCTACTATATTGGAACAGATCGTAAGTAGTATACATTGTTATGTTCTAAAATTCTGTAAAATATTATTAACGTCATATTTCCTCATGTGTTTTATTTTAATCATATTAAAGTGAAATCTCTATTTATCAATGTTTCCCAATTATTGAATGTGTTTAATAGATTTTTTTAAACCTCTATTAAATGTGATAATATAGCATCTTACTACTTAGAATAGTGAATATCTTTCAATAATACCCTTTTTTGGCCACCATCGTTATGTTTTATAGAGGTTTCACTATCAATAGATGATTAGTTATAGATTGTGGGTACAAGATATTAAATTAGGCATTTAATGCAGACCAACATATTGAGACTCCTATCAACAGCGTAGGACTTAGGTCCCCCGGTTCCAAGATAGTAAGTGTCTTAGGTAGGTTTGCAATTTATAATTTATTATTAAATATAAATAATAAAAATTAAATTGTATTATTTTTGAAATTGATCAACGATAGAATAAATATATGTTAAAAGTTATATTCTCAAATGTTTTGCTTATTTATAGTCATTTTTTTTTTTTTTTTATTATTTTGATATTTAAACAAATATACAGTCATAATTTTGTGGGGCTAGATTAATTTATTTATTTACAATTTCTAGTTAAATTATGGTATTAAGTATTTGTAAAATGTAGCAGTACAAGATTTTAATTCTTACTAGAAAATTAAATTTATGTTCAGTATTTGTTTTTAATTATTAAAAGTTAATTGTTTTATTAAATGGGCATTATCTGTCATTAATAAGTTTTTTATTTCTCAAATTTTTATGATTATAATTGTTTACAATACTAATTAACATTTTATAAATCAAAGGATATTAATATAGTAAAAAAGTAAATGCAATTATCTTGTATATTTATCTTTTAAATATCTTGGCCTCATAATATTAGTGGCTGCATATTATAAATATAAAAATTCAATCTTTAATTGAATGTATTTCAATATTCATTCAATGATAATGTTATAATTATTATTCCATGTTTTTTTTTTTTTTATTATTGTTACTATTTACATAATGTCTAGGTAAATACTCAAGTGTTCAGTAGAATTCAAAGTATAAATAATTCAAGTACTTCAAGTTCCAGTTTTAAACTTATCAAGAGTTTATAGATGTCTAATTTACAGAGGTAATTTAAATAATATCTTATAATTATAAAATAAGTTATGTATTTAATTTTAATTTATTATCTTTTTTTCAGTTTTGAATTGAACTAACATAACCAAAAAGATGACAATGACTTGTGTTTAATTTATAATATAATTATATGTTGGTTAGTTCAAATATTGAAATTTATTGTTTATTAATTTTAGTCATTTTAATAAATTATTAATATTTTTATAATACAATTAGTGTTTCCAGGTTTGTAATGGTACATATCATTTACTTCATAGAAAAATGTTCAAAATGTACAGTAGACCTGGGCATAAATCAAACCATTTTATTTTTAAGTAAGTGCTTGCAATATTAAGTTAACCAGTGAAAAATGTTTTTTTATTATAACTGATGTTATTTTATTAAAAATTATTTTTTTATTTTGTTAATCTCTATATTAGAAGTTATCATAAAGAATAAAATTGTACATGAATTATTATATTTTTTAAACAATTAATTATGTTTTTATCAAATTTGATCAAGATTTTACTATTTCATAGATTAAATATTTTTATAAAAATATAGTACTATATGTAAATAATAAGTATGTGGTTTTTCATTAAAATTAACTTTTATAAATATTAATATCAACATTTTTATTTGAACTAAACGAAATTCAATTTATAGTTTTTATCCTATTATTTTTAGTGTTTTATTAACATATTATTTAGATTTTTTTCTGTTGAAACTATTTTAATACTTTAACTTTTTAGTTTATTTAATATTTTAAATTGTACAGCATTTAAATATATTGTCCTATCTATTGAATGTAATTTGATTCATTTCTCCACTTAAATACAAGACTGTACACTATATTTAGGTCTAAATAATAGTTCAGAGATATCATTTTTAAGAAATTTATATTTACAATTGAAGTATATTTTAATTCAAATTCTATTTATTCATTTTTTATTTTACAGTAGCTTACTTAAATTTTATTTATTATATTCAAAATTTTCATTAATTATGATTTTTTAATATTTACTTAATAAAGAAATTATAGTCTTCTGTTGGAAAATTGTGTCTCGAAAAAAATGTTATTACATTGGTAGTATTAAATAATTTGTTTTTATTTTATACTAATTAATTTTTAGTGTACAGGTATAATATAATATTAGGTATGTTTTCTACACAAAGATTAAACATCCTTATTTATTATTGTTTGATAATAACAGTAATTTAAGCTAATAAGTATTGGTTAGAGTCTACTTCAAATTATATTTAATTAAATAATCAATTTGACAATTTAGTAGATTTGAATTCCTAATAATTCAGTATCTTAAATTTAACTACATTTTAGAATATTATTGCTAAATTTAAAATTAGTTCATTTTATATATAACTATTGTAAATGCAACTTTATACAATCACATATTTTACCTTTTATAATTGTAAAAATGTACATGAGGTTAAAGAAATAGTGTATTCTTGTGTACGGTTAAATGTGTATTTGTACAGATGTTGTAACAGTATATTTACATTAATTTAGTTTAAACTAATAGTTTATACCTTATCTTGATATTTATTTTAAACTAACCGATAGAATCTATTGTTTATTAATATGGTGTACATAGTAGATACATTTTCAAGTAATTATGTATATGAAAAGTGTTCAATTATGAAAACTAAAATATTTTTAAAATACTTATTTAATTCCATAATATTAAAAACTTAATAATTAATGTTATATGCTAAGATTTTTTCATAATTTAAATTTGTTTCATTATGTTAATCTTCTATCAATATTTAAATTAGATATTTTTAAGGTAGGAATCATTAAGTACTTTAATGTAAAAAAACATAGTAAGACAATGACAGAGCCAGCCTTCATGATTAAGAGATGTGAATATTTCTGGAAATGTTAACCCTTTTCTCAATAAAAAATATTTTTATTCCTACAGTACTATATTATGTAATGTATTTAGTTATTAGATGCTAAAAACATGTATCAATTATTATACTCAAAGACTTGCTCCTTTCATAATTTAAAATTATTGTATGTAAAGAATTTTGTTTAGGAGACGCTACCGCATACCTTGAATACCCTTTGGCTCCGCTCAAAATCAAGATAATTATTTAAAGAATGTTTTAATTGGATGGGATGCAGGTTTTAAGAAAACAGAAGAAAACATTAAAGTGTACACCAGATGTTTTTTACTAAATTTATTATTGTGTTCATTATTCAGATACCTAATATTATGTTAAGTAAATATTTTACAAATTAAAAAGTTTATAAAATTATATTTTAATTTACATAAAATTAGTAATTATTTTCAATTTTTTTTTTTATTTTGCAATTTTCGATATCAACATGTCTTTTGTGCAGTTCATGTATCATGTTTATCAGTGCATTCTTGCACTGCGTGTCGGAGATAAACTGATGAATGATAAATTTGTGCATTATTCATTAAAATTCAAAAATGATTTGTTACCACCAAGGGCACCAAGATCAAAGTGCGAAACTTCTACGGTTTAGGTATATAATAATTTATTCAGTACCTAACCATAAGCTACCATTTATATATTAAATACTACAAAAAGCCATTTTGTTATATTTTATCGAAATATGGTTGTGTAACGTGTTAGCAAAAAACTGTGGACATGTAATTACCGGTTAGGCGACAATGTTAATTTATACAATATACATTATTCAATTCATAGCATTTTCACGAAAAATTGAACTTAAAAAAAAAAGCACTTATCTAGTCTGCGAACAGTGAATCGTGTACTGAACTAGGTACTGAAGTGTTATTAGTTAGTAATTACTACATCTACTTGTTTCATTTTACGTTTTAAACTTTTTTTTGTAGATTATTAATGGAAGCATAGTAATATTCAAGCTGTAATTACTGTTTAGTCATTTCACATTTGTTAATGTCTATTGTCTACTCAATCGATTACTGACCAGTGTATCTACTACATTATATCCAGGGCATAGACAATATCGACATAATGTCATACATGCTTTATACTCAAGGATGTAGAAGTATATAATTATCGAGTATAGAATAAATTAATAACTATATCGTATTTGATATTTTTAATTTCATAATTAATAGTTTGTCAAAGCGTCTAACGTGACACGTTATCCTTTTTTCTGCTCACTAAAAAAAAAAAAAAATTGTCGTCGCCAATTCATCTCGCATTGGACACGTTATTATCGACGACTTTATTTACAATTTTGGGCTCGTAAATCGACGACACTGGTATTGTGAACTCAAGAGTACCATCCCAGTGAGCACGCCAACGCTCGTTCGGTTCGGTACAACGTTTTCATCGCGGCCTCCGGTGGTCAAACTTCTGCACTCATTTTTCTGGTACAACAATATTGCCGCTGGGGGGCGCTGCGCAGAGTCACTTGGAATCGACAGTTCTCATTCGTCGACGACGTTTTTCCTGTTCACCTTCCATTTTGTGAACGATACTCCTCGTGCGCTATACCTCCGTAGTCTGCATTCCGTGTCACCGACCACCGTACAATAAACGCCAAGCGAACGTCATTAGTGTCGGTCTATCGTCCATTTTTATTGCCACCGTGGTTTTTTCCTCCGTCGGTCCATCACAACGTTTTCTACAGCCGTTGTTGGAGTACATTCTCGCCGGCGTGTTCAAATCCGCCGTTGTCGTTTTCTTCGTCTTCTCGTGAGTATAGTGTTACACATAGTTATAGCCCAAGTCGTTACGATTGTTTTATTTTCATAGTGTCGATTTCTCGAATGTGTTATTATTTTTTTTTTTTTTTTATACGTTTTAACATGCCGTTTGCCTCTCTCTTTTTCTCCATCTCTATCGAGAACATCGACACGCGTACACCACCGTGGTGTGAGTGCTTATAATGTTGCGTGCGTGCGTGCGTGCTTGCGTACATGTGTGTGTGTGTGTGTGTGTGTATGTGAGAGAGTTGGTATATATGTGTACGAGCGTGTATTTCGTAGAACTGTGTGCGTGAGCAATTATATATATATAAAAAACTAGGGCATTGTGAAAGGCAATGCATATTACCAAATTCGTTTAATTTTTTCACTTGAATTTCAATTTCTTGTAGATAAAATATTATCTACAATGAATGTTTTGTCAGGATTCATCGTTTCTACTTAAGAAAAAGAATATATTTTTCTTACATTGTACATAGCTACTATGTACTGTCAAATCAATTCAACAGTACTCTGCGTTTGAATTTTTATTACATAATATTATTATTATTATTTTTGTATCTCGCCTCATATTTTAATTTATTTTATTAACATGTTTTAAACCAATATTGGTAGCCTATTCGTTTTGATGTAAACCTTATTTTTTGGTAGATACTGCACTGCATTAAATACTGCCTTGGTTATTGTTGAAATCATTAAAGGTAAAACATGTTTGGCATTATCAAACTGGTTTTTTTATTTCAAATACAATCTCTTGTAAGGAAATTGGAAAGTTTTATTGACAATTAGATGTTATTTAAGTAATTAAATAATTATAGGTAGATAGTACATTATTATTTTTTAGTAGATAGGGTAACTTATTAGTTATTATTGATTATTATACTTGGTTGTTGTTGAATGATGATAATAAATAATTTTTCATTTTTTATTGTAATATTTTTTGCTAAACAATATGAAAATTGAAATAAATTATTTTAAATAATGTAGTTCCTAAGCAGGTACCTTCAATTATACATACAAAAAGTCTATAATCCTTAAATTAATAAAATATCAGATAAATATTGATTGTACTCCCTGCCTTATTTATAAAATTAAATTCTGCTCTTAAAATAATAATAATTATTAATATTAGTAGTAGTTATATATTTAAAAAATTTGTAATACTGTTTTAATTTTTATTTATTAAATTCTTTACAGTTTAAAGTGAACAGATTGAAATTAAATATACTTGGATATCTAACTTTTAATAACATTAGTGGTATTAAACTACTTATTTTTGCTTTTTGTGTAAATTTTTTTTTCAAATAATATTACATTTTATTGATTTTCAAGTGTTAATTAATATTAGAAATTAAATAAATGTATTATTTTCTCTTTATTGAAGTATATTAATTGTTAGGTACAAATTAATTTTTAATTTTTGTGTGTTATACAAATCAAAAAATAAGTTTTTGATATTTTTGTGATTGTGTGGTTATAATTAAAAGATAGGATTACTTATTTGAGTATGTAAAATCTACAAAATAATTTATAGCATATTTAAAATTTATTGGGGTTAAAAATTACCCCATACATGTTACCAAAGGCTACTAACCCTAAATTTATGGAATTTTTTTAGAATGTTAGCTTAAGTTTAATTTCATTAATATACCTAACTTTTTATTTATTGTTTTAGGAAATAATTGAATAAATAAAATAATAATGAAGGTCCCCAAGGAAGAATCTAAAGAACAAAGTAATGACAATACATTAAATGATGATGATAATTTGAGTAATCCTTATGATACAGAATCAAATTCTGATTCCATTGATCCACCAACAAGAGATGGAGATTTTTCTGAATATATGTGGATGGAAAATCAAGAAGAATTTGACTTACAGGTATACATTACACTCAATTTATCTACCAATTTTCACCCTGTATGATGTATCTCTCACCACTTCCCAGTTATCAGTGTGATTGAGTGGTTTTCATTCATGGTGTCTGAAAAATGATTATTATATTTTTAGAACAGAGTTTAGCTATAAATAATTATTTTACTGATATTACTTGTCAACAACAAATTAATTAATTTATAATTTTAATATTCAGTAGAAACAACAAATGTATTATACATATGTTGATGTTATTATCTGAAAATAATTAGAACACTTGTTTGTTTTTTTCATACCACTGGTGCTGTTTAAAAAATTAATCATCACCCTGCCACTGGGCGACCATTGGATGTTTTATAGTAGTAATTAAATAATTATACTTTAGAGAATAAGAAAAAGTCTTTAAATGTCACACTTTAATTGTTCTAACATCATGTTTTTGTTGTAAAAAAAAAAAGTGCTTGTATTTATATTGTAGGAACCAACTCAATGAATTTGTAAGGTAGGCACAAACTTCATACTTAAATTGTTTTAAATTGTTTACCTATATATTAAAGAATTAACCAACAACATATTGACATGATCATAATACTATACATTTATAGTTGATTTATAAGGAAAACTTAAATTGTTATTAGCATTTTACTATGACTTATGCTATTATGTATTAAGTTTATTTTGGTGATTTTTTTTTTTTAAATCTATCAATCATGAATAATAATATTTTAGAATAGAGACTATTGACTTAAAGTTGCCCCATGTCATCAGGGTATTTTATACAGATTGAGGGTCGAGTAATTTGTAACAAGTACCTAATTTATCATTGATGATATTGCACTTCATTGTTGTTGCATGGTTGTACTAAGGCTATTAAATTTAAAATTTTATAAAGATAAAATATTAGTTTTTATGTGTATTAGAAAAATAATAAATGTTATAGTTTTGATAAATATGTTTTCATTTATAGGTTATGAAAGAATTAGAAGAAAAAGAATTGATGAAAGAATGTCTTGAAGCTATGTTAGATGATGAACAACATAATAGCAAACAGAATGGTACAGCAAATGGCGACTCTCAAACGTAAATTAATTTTTATATTTTTATATAATATTTATATGTGCAAATTTAACTTATATTATTATTTAAAGAAATGGTTCAAGTAGCTCTACCTCAATGATAACCCATAGACTTGATCATTTGAGCTTAAATACATCTTGCAATAATGGTGACCAGCCAAGGCAATCTACAGTAAGTCATTTAATTTTTTTTTTTAACTTCATCCAATTTAGAAATTAGTAATATTAGAGTATTGTACGAGTTTAAAATTTAACAGTGATATATGACATTTATTGTTATATATGTTGCTATAATATATTGATTGCACATATAGATTATAAGAGCATTTAAGCTATAAGGGGAGCAATATCTATATTAATAGTATTAAATATCTTTAATTGTTAAATTATCTGTAAGTAAAAATATTAATTTTAGCCCATAGATTGTATTAATTAAAATTAAATGCAATTATATTTTAATTTATTGTTTCTCAAAGTTTTTAAAATTTTAGTCTTTTGACATGATCATATTATGTTCTTCAATTAGTTTTTCTTATTCTATGAGTTTTATAATTATTATTTTTATGATTGAATCTTATAAAATGGTTTCTATCATAGTTATTATTAAAATAATTTTTTCTTGAAATATATCTAATTATAAATAAATAAATTTAAAAATTTGTAAATAATTAAAAATTACATAATTTAAATATTAGTCTTAATAAAAATATTTACTACTTAATTTATTAAACATACTGTTTTAATTTGTTAGGCAATACATATTTATAGTTTATATTCATCTAATTTAAATTAAAGGTGTAAACTAAAAATATGAACAGTTTGCCAATGTTTATTGTTTATGAAATAGAAAATACAACATAAATTATGCTGACTACTTGATTTTTAAAAGCAATATTATTACTTAAATGATTTATCATAGACATTTTTAAATGTGTGTTACAGAGTACGTTAAATCCAGATGCAGCTGAATTTGTACCATTAGCAACCCGGTCTTTGACTAATGCTCCTGTGGTAGTAGCAAGTCCTTCATAAGCGAGTAATAGATATTTTTAACATACTATATATTATAAATATATATATATATATAAAATAAAGTAAATATTAATCTATCATCACAAAGTATAATATATTTTCATATTAAACAAACTTAAATTTTCAATAAAATGACTATAATGGTTTTTTTTTTTTTTTTGTAAATCTTCATTATACTCATAAGTTTTCACTCAGTTTTATCATAATTTAAAATTATTGAATTACACATACGATATAAATCGCACACTTCTGTTTGATCACCATTGTTATTTGTATGATTTGGATTCATTATCAATTACAATGTTAACAATGGAAAATTGAAAAGTTACAGTATAACATTTATAGAATGAAAATAAACAAAATAACTAACACAATTCATGTTTAACTATATTGCCACTTAGTCAACTTGTCGTGTTTTCAATCTATATTATCTTTTATTTTATAATTATTAATTTAGTATTTATATTATAACATTAATTTGATTGTTTATTATAATATTATTTTATTTTTTAACAAACTTTAAAAGTAAAGGTTGAATATTGGTTCAAAATTAAATAACTACTTATGGTTATAAATTATAATAGTTATTTTACTTTTTGTAGATGAATAATTAATATTATTGATGAACTATTAACAAAAATTATTGATTAATTAAAAAAAAAAAATTTAAATTAATGATAATTGGTATTTATTTAATTTTTTTTCTGCTTGTTTTGATTTATCTGGCTTTTTCATTTATTTAGAAAGTTCTGTTGAATATTGTTTTTTGTAATCAGACATGATAAAAGTTTCAATCTGAGAATGTCATGGTTTGATTGATAATTTCTTTATTATATATTATATACACATAGGTATTTACATTTTTAGAGGGGAATATTTATTCCAATATTTTCTATCAATCTAAGCAAATCATTATACCGTTCATTTTTGTACTTTGAAAAATTGTGTTAAATTATTTTATTTTAAAAATAATGCCAAAAATATTAATATTTTCAATTATATCATGTTTTGACTTTCTTTAGCAAGCCTAATAAATAAATAATATTTTAAGTACAAATATGTTGTTTACTTAATATTGTTTTATATAATATTTTAATTATATATTAGTGATGTGATAAGTAATATTTTTGTACGTCTTAACTCTTTGTAGTCGTTTTATTATTAAGAAATCTGTGTGTAATGTTTCATGGCTAAATTAAATGAAATATGAATTGTATGACGAGTGATTATTATTTGAATTAGTGTAGTATTATTTATATTTTGTTTAATGTATTGTGTTAGTTACATTTTTAATGTTTATATGTAATTATGATTTTCAATAATATGGTTTTGGGAATATTAATATAATGATATTTTGGATAACTCTCGTCAGACTGATTGTTATTGTGTTAAATTTAACTCCAACTTAAATGATTTACATTTCCAATAAAGTTCAAAATTTATATCTTGGTTTTTATGTTACTGTTTGATACTTCTAATTTATTATATATTAATTATATGAGTTATTTAAAACAATTTTTACTGTTTTTATATTATAAAAAAAAAATATTTTAGTATTTTCTAAAATCATATTTGATATTTATCTTAAGTTTAAGTTGTAGATAATAATTTGATCCATATAGCAATTTAAATTCCTAAATGGATGGTCATCTTAGTTCTGACGAGAATTATATCCAATTGAACATTATAACACTGGTATATAATGTTATTAAAATATATGTTTTTTGATTGCTAAGTTGATAAATTAATATTTTTCATTATTGTTACCTTAAATTTAAATAGTTTATTCCGTACTATGATATTAATCTATAATGTAAACATTACACCCAAGTCTAACACTTAGTAGGCAAATTTGTGTAATATGTATTTTGTGGTTTAAATTAGAATTATTAAGTACAGTGTAAATCTGATGTAATAGACATTCAAAATTATGTAAACTTAAACAAAAATGTTAAATCTCTAAATTTTTTTAAAATTGAGCTAAGTTATTTGTTAATCAACTTTTTTTTAGGTAGGTTGATGTAGTATACACATTTGTGAATGTAATAAACTTTGTGATAAGCCAAAGTATTTTTTTATTGTTAACTTTTTAAGATATAACCTATGAACTTACCATTTTATTATGTGCAGCTAAATATAGGGATATTTATCTTTTATCATACATTTAAAATTATTTGTAGCTATTTTAAATTGAATTTAGGAACAGGTAAAGAATACTTAACAAAATGATAAAATATATAGAAAAATTAAAAAAATTTTCATGATACCAATACCAATATCTAGTATGATTGTTTGATTTTCAAACATTGTCACATCAGTTTATCAATACATTTTATAATATATATATTTGTAAATTCAATAACCTTGTAAATATTTATGTATATGATTTTAAAATTAAAGTTAATATTGTTAATACTCATGATATTAGATTATTGAAACAATTCAAAAAGTGAGTATAGTGATCATTAGTTGGACCCGTTTTTTAGAAATATAAAAGTAATGAAACTATTGCATTCAAGGTAAGCTGAAAAAATTTAAGATGATTAGTAGAACAACAAGGAAAATAATTTTTATGTTTTACAGTATGAATTAATTATTTATAGTAGATAATTAGTTTAGTAGATCTTAAAATTATGATTGCAAAAATTAATATATTGGTTAAATTAAAATAAATAAATAGAGTTTAAAAATAAATTTTCTTACTTATTCAGTAATATTCTTAATTGTTAAAATGAAGACATTTAAGCAGTTTTATTTAAGGTTTTGAATTGTAATTGTAGATTAAAACTAATTGGAGACTGGATTTTTAAATTAAATTCATGTAATTTGACTTGCAGTAACATACTACTAAATGTATCAATTATAAAATCATTTTATAATGTTTGAGTTAAATGTTTAATTCATAAATATTTATATATTGGATAAATCTTGCATTATTTTGTACAAATATGAAAGATATTGCTGAGTGTAAAGCATAATTGCATGAATTGATATGGTACACTTAAGTATATTTTAATTTGAAATGTAACACTAATATTTATGTTTTACATGGTCTTATTTTATTATTTACCACTTAAAACTTGGAAAATTAATTGTAAATTTTCTTTGTATAACGTTGGAATTTAGTGGACATTCTAATAATAAATTTAGCAGTTACAATTGTTATCCATTAATTTAACATTATTTAACACAATACAATGGCTTAGAAAACTTGAAATTGTTAAAAGATTATAGTCTAATATATTCCACCAAACTACCCATCTCCTAGGTAGGTATTGTCATATTTTTAACTAAACGGTTTAGTTAATACTTAATTATCAGTTTTTCATTAACCATCCATCCACTCACCCACAACTTCTAATAAAAACAATCTTTTAAATATTACATGATAGTATATATTAATTTTACATTTTTAAGTAGTTTTTATTTTGACACTAATTTGTTGTTTACAGAAAATAGTTTAATAGTCACTAGTCCTAATATGCAATATTATCTTTATTAAAAAAAATTATTTTAATTTACTTTAAAGTTTCAACTAACACATTTTTGGTATCTAATCTGAAAAAAAGTTAGATAGAAAATTTACCGAATGACAATTACTTATACTTGTTAAATTGTAGTTTGTATTTTAGTAAGTCGTGTATTAAATTGTACATCTTTATTTATTATCTTGGTATATTTTGTTTATTTTTGAAAGATTTTTTGTGTATGAAAATAACTCGAATGCTGATGATAGAATTTTAATGTTTGTTATTTGCCGAATCTGATACCTGGTTTGTCAATGAAAATTTTATCCTAGCTCCTGAATTTTTTAAGCAATTATACGTCATTCTTGTACTATTAAATTCTGTATTTGCCACATCAGTACATTGCATTTTTCAGAAATTAAAATAAATTTATTTACAGATGAACAAATACTTATTATTACATTATAAGAACGTCAGGCTCGTGATTTGTACCTATATCTGATGTTTTTAAATTTAGGTTTTGACTTACCACTCATATACGCAGCAAAAACTATTTTCGGAATCCATATTACGATTACCGGAAATTTTTATCATTTGTGTCAATCGTTACATAGAAAAAATTCAGAAACTTGGTTTGTTGGAAATTTATAAAGGAGATAGTACCTAATTTTCGAAAATATTGAAGCGTGCTTGATGGAATAGCTTTCCTACCACTGGATAAAGTAAATAGTAACTACTGTATGGAATCGAATGTCTAAAAGAAATAATGCCACCAAATGCAGAAGACCTTTTTAACTTACTTCAATTCATATCATGAAAATGCTACATTGCTACCAATGGCTATAGGTGTGTAAGTTCTGCTTCTACCTTAAATTTTCAAAAAATGCACTTGTATTTTCACCTTTCTCGTAGAATGTACATAAAACCACTTTAGTTAAGAGGGCATCGAATGAATAATATGACTGAAGGGTGAAATAACTAATTTGCAAAACTTGGTGGACATAAGTATCCGGCTATTTGAAAATCAATAACTTACCTATTAATAATTAATTTTGAATAGTTAGTACATTTTTATGCAAACTTATCAGGTATGTATCTATATATTTTTTTATATTATAGCAATATAGTCCATAAACGTCCAGGTACGTTTAACTTGTAAGTTGTAACAAAATTTATCGGATACCTATTCGAAAAAAATATGTGTATATTTTTTTTATATAGTTTTATTTATTCAATCTGTTAAAAAGATCAGAACAATAAAAATAATTGATAATATATCTAGCTAAAAAATAATAAATAAATAAGACAGAATCGACGGCTGAAATTCGAAAAATAACTATCACAAATTGTATTATATATTTAATACAGAGTCATTTAATCGTTACCAATATATATTATTTTTATACATTAATATTAGGAATATAGTATTTAAACCAGACATCAACAGAAGTAAAATATTGCCGTGGTTACGGTTTACTTAAACAGAAATTGTTTAATAGAAAAAATAGATTGTTATGAAAAATGTCCAGTCAT